CCCCGCGTCATGACCTAGGGGCCAGCTACAGACGCGGCGCCGGTGCTATCGGCACCCGGCCCGGCGCCAGCTTCTTCCTTTCTTTTCTCTTTGTTTCACTGTTCGCGGTGGGCCAGCGGATCTAGTGTGGGCAAGCAGAGGGGCTCCGTCCGTAGGTCTGTCGCGGATCAGGGAGCGCAGGACACACAGAGGCACCGAGCTGCAGGGGCCTGCCCGCCCTGTGCGCCACCACGACAACCCCCGAACTCGTCCCAGACAAATGCCGGAAGGTCGCCGCACGGGGACTCTGTCCCCGTGCTCGGACCTTGTTTGTAATGCATAAAATGCAAGGCACGTAACGCCTGTGTCGGGGAGCAGGCAAATGAGACCGATTGCGAGCCTGTTTAGGAGAAGAGGACTTTGCGCCAGAGTAACTTGACTACAGAGGCAGTATTCTTTGCCCAAATGGCATGACAGACTGGATTTTGGTGCTCCCGAAATTTGTCATGCGCCACTTCGAGACTGAGGCACTGACTGGCAATTGATTTTATGCATGACAAACTAGCTCGATTCTGTTGACTTCGGTCCTGACGCTTCCATAGAAAATTGACACCACGTTAGAGGATGATATGTTTCCCGTGATACGGGTCAGCCTGGAGCAGTTCCGCGAGATTGTTCACAGCCGGAAGATGCCGACCGGCGCCCCGCGCTACCGTTGGTTTTTCGATCTGGAGCTGGAGAAGGGGGAGCGGTCGCGTGAGCTGCTCCGGCTCGCGACCGAGTTCGTCAAGTGGTACGGGTCGGCAGCTGCGCAAGGGGCGAGCAGCTCGCGCGGGGCTGGTGTTTAGCTATGAGAAAGAAGAGCGCGACAGGTGTCATCGCGCTCCCATGAGTGATTGCGAACAAATAAACACGGAGTTGTTGCAGTTTTTCTTTTTCTTTTCTGATGTGTTTCCTCCGCGAGAAAGAGAAAAAAGACTGCGTCATGAGTCTCGTGTTGAATCCCGCAACTGAAATAATTGTGAAACAGATCGGCAATGGCAACAGTATTCAGTGAGAATCCAATCAGTCAACCAGTAGAGAAATTGGGTCCACGGCTTTGCTCGTGTTCGGTATTCTTCGGTCAACGCGACGCGTCGTCCCGAGTCATAGGCGCCTCGCGATTTTTGGTATAAGAGGTCACGGTCGTGGAATTGAGTCGACATTTGTCCAAGAGTCGACATTCGTCCAAGAGTGGAGCGGGTAACAAAAATCTATGTGCGTGCTCGTCGTTCGTGGAAAAAGTAAAAATGATATGCATCTGTATTTTAAGAGCGACAACTTGTATTGCGTATTTCGTCGTCGAAGTGAGTGTTTCCTGTCCTCAATATGATCGTGGGTTTCGCTTTGCTCGTTCGCTCGTTCGAGTTGTATATTGGATTCACTCGTGGTTGTACCAGTACCTTGAAAACCATTTGACTTGAGGACTTCGTCGTATTTCTTTTTCATGATCTCCACCTGCTCGTGGCTTGCAAGACCAAGAAGAACCAACGGCGAATTTTCACACACTTTTCCCAACAAGAAACTCTGTTTTTTCAAAGCAGCAAGGGGCGCTTTCTCATGAATTGAAGTTTCAAGAATACGTACAATAAAGATCGCTTACTCAGTAATACAATTACAACATCCCTTACTCAGTCTAAGAATAAGAAAAGTTCGCTTACCCTGTATCAAAAGTTCGCACAATAAGATATTTCTTTTCGCTCTAGTCTGCTGAGCTTTTTCTCTCACTGGTTTCTCCCAGGTCTCTCTTGTAGAAAGAACTGTTGTACCCCCGCACCACCACCGGAGTGCCTACTGCATACCAAGACGGCAAAAAACCCTCGATTCGATTCGACACGACCCACTATCCTGTGCAACATCGCTCCTCGCGCCTGCTATGCACCTTCGCAAATGTTGTAGCAACTCAGGGAGCCACGCATGACAAATTTGAATTGGGGGGTCTGCTCTCGTGCTTATCTGGTTGCGCTGCGATAGTAGCACGAAGATGTCGCCTTATCCCGGTCGGAATAGCATGACAAATTGCCAGAAAATGGCACTCATGAAAAGCTGCTCAAGAGCCTCTCGCAGATGATGAAAGATTTGCATGACAGCATGTGGGGGGCGAGGGTTTTCGCACAGGATAGTACGACCCCTGGTATGATGAAGACCAACGGAGCGCTCGCGGATCGGACCCGGACCGCCGAGGGTATGACCTGAAAACTCATTTCCTCTCTGCGGACCACACGCATTCGTGCTCGTAATGCGTGGTTAGCAGTGGAGAAAGTGGTGCTTTTCTTTTCATATAGAAGCGGCAGCGCCACGTCCGCAAGGACGAGGCGAGTGGGAAAATCCGTATCAAATGCAAATGTGTCTGGGTCTGGAAGGATGCAAGAAACCTGTGTGTGATGCGGAATTATCTGGAACACCAGGGAAAATAAATCTGTGTTGCTTAGGATGCAAAAGCAGATAGCCACTTTCGTCTCCAAGCTAGGGCGTTGCTCATGCAGGCAAGGCATGGAGACAGATGAAGCCTGCGCAAAGTCTGTCAACATGCTCTGTGTGCCTTCCAGGCCTCCTCGTAATTCCAATTGCAGAAACTGCATGACAAATATTTGTTTTCTGCTTCCAGACCCAGACATATTTGCACTTGATAATCCGGAAGACCAAGCTGAAAGCCGCTTCGCGACTGCACGAGGCGAATGAAGAGCTGGAAGCTGCTCTCAATGCGAAAAAGGTGGCCACCGACGACTATGGGGGCGTATAGGATCGAAATCGACCAGAGTTGAAAGAATTTGTCATGCATAAAACACGATGCGGAAACAGCTTGTATTGCAGAGCAGCCACATGAGGCCGGTTGTACTTGAGCTTGTTTCTTGGGGTTTGATAAATGATGCGAAAGTAGTCTCCTACTTTGCCCCAAACAGCATGAAAAATTGGATTTACGTGTATGCTTGCAAAATTTCTCGTTCGCCTCTTAGAAACTTAGGGCTCAACACCAACTTATATCGATTTTATTATGCATAAGAATGACAAATCATTTCATCGACTTTCTCGGTTTAGATCTTGACCGTTCAATAACCAATGGGACGCGGTTATCGTGCGCAAAATTTTTACTAGCATATCGGACTTGGCATTCTGCAGATGCGAATAAACCGAAATCGGAGCTCATGAGAGTGCACAAGTCCCCCTCCCCCTCATTTGTGATGCAAAAAAAACCCAAAGCCGCATCTGATCTATAAGCACAAATAGCATGACAAATTTTGGAACCACAAGCAGCATTACAATCCGTGTGCCGCAGACAATGCCAAGCGAAAGAATACGCTAGCTGCATTTCTTTGTCATGGCGGTTCTCAATCAAAAACATGCGGAAAAGGAGTTGGAAATGAAAAACTTTGATTTTCAGATCAAAGAAATCGAGAACGTATCCTGTGGAAATAGATTATCGTCCCTTTACTTCTTTGGAGTGGATTTCCTGCTCAACCGAAAAAACTAAAATGGTTCGCATTTGCAGGTGTGCAGGTCATGGACTGGAAAGTTGAAGTTGTGATGTTGATTTGATTTTGGAAAAAGTAAAATAATTTATGTAGTCGAATCGGTAGAAGAGCCGTACGGAGCTGCGCGATAGTCTTCTACAGGATAAGGGCGGAAAAGAGCAGGGCTGAAGGCAGCAGAGGAGGCAGTCGCGACTGCGTACAAAAAAGTGTACCAACCCGAAATATCAATCTAGGTCTGGAGAGTTGTCAACCTCTCACGTGCATAATTGCATTTGCAAATAGGCAGTAATACTACACAGATACGGGTGCACCAGTTGACAAATACCACAGCCGTAGTTTTGACTGCTTCATCTAAACATTGTCATGTCATGCAGCCGCCTACGCATGGGATACGCGAATCGGATCTCTGCACGACGAGCAAGCTCCGCTTTCGCGCAACATGCACCACAGAGGTCATAGTTCTGATCGTAGAGCATTTCAAATGAATCAAATTGAAGAGGGGCGTTGCACCAGCAACAGGCAGCATCCACCTGCCCCTCCAACCAAGTTTGTCATTCAAATCCAGTATCGTGAGTAAAAACGTTTGCACCCCGGAGTTGCTAGTACATAAACACCCACCGCTGTCATGCAGATTTGCATCTGCATCTAAGTGCAGGAACCTCACTAATGCGCATTCCTATGAGAGGCATTTCCAAACGTGCTGTTTTGGAATTTGTAATGCTGTAAACAGGATAAATATAAGTAGATGGCTTTGCTGATGTGATGCGGCTGTACTTGCTAAACTGCACCATAATAAAAAGAGAAAATTGTCATAGTGCGTGACATCCTCCACCAAAAGTTCTGGATGTGTGTAGCGAGATCCCCATTCTGACTCTGGGGTGAGAACGTGTTTGCACAGGATATCCAGGCCAAGTGAGGTATTTCCAGCGCATAAGGCCCGAGAGGAGGAGGAGGAAGTGGAGAACCTCCGTGACATGCTTACTTTTACCGAAAACGGTATTCGACAATTACATTTCCAAACTTCAAGTGATTTGCAAGAAAAAAATGTGTAATGCGAAAACTACGTCATTTCCTTCATTTCCATGAAACACAAGCAGATCGTCTCAAAACAAAGAAATCTGTAATGCGATTGTAACATCATTAAACCGGAAATTCAATAAAGCAGCTGTGGGGATGAACAACAATCGCCCGATCGGAGCCGGAACGAAAGTGAATCTGGACAAGTTATGCCGGTGAAAAATTTTCGACCCTCTCCAGTTCCAGATAGAAAAGTGTAGAACAGATTTGTCATGCTAAGTACAACATTTACCCTAGTGCTTGGCAGACCGTGCATCATGTGCAATTACCATAGTGCATAGTGACGCACCATGCATGACAATATTTGAAGCTCTGCCATGCAAATGTAGTACTGTGTGTTGCTACAGCGCAGGCAGATTGTGAACATGTGATGGCGTGTAGAAGCCCGCTTGTTCGGCCTCACAATGCTCGTGCCTGCGGTTCGGTGCACAGCATTACAGATATAGCACATGCAAATAAGTGCGTCGCTGCTGCCGACAAAGCTCTTCGCCGTGGCTACACAGGAGGTCACGCACTAGGTATTATACATAGCCAATTACTTAGCCAACAGAAGGCTTGTAGGTGGGGAGAGTGGAAGATTTTTGCACTTTTACAACGAATTCCCGAGCAAAAGGAGCTGCACACCAATTCCGGTATTTTCTCCCGCATCTATTATTTTCTGGGAAAGAAGAAGAACTTTTATATCACACAGTCACAAAGCACGAGACGCAGATCGATACGCTTTAAGCAATATTTTAGCATTCTTTCATCATGTAATGTTTACAATATTATGCCCGTTCTTGTTGTGATTGTGATAGCACCGTACTACTTTGCACATAGCGAAAAGAAGTTGGCGCTCCATTGTACCAACAAGTGCGAACTTGTCGATCAACTGGAATCGGATACAGTCAAGTATAAGTATACCTGCAACAACGATATTCCTTCAGCGACGATGGTGCCGCACGGGAAGACCACTTTTTCCTCCCACTCGTACAATGGCCACTCGTCGAATTTTGCGCAAGCCGGAGCGCACCACACCGGTACTAAGCTGCTAGAGGCCGTTGTAGCCGGAATCGTTTTATTTTCGGACATCTGAGTAGGATTCAAAAAAGCAGCATTCCTGCATGACAAACTCATCATGAATAAAGTCAAATTTGACTTCAAACAGGTACCTCTTCTGCTTCGGGCTTCGGCGGAAACAAGAAGTATGGCGGGATCCAGAGTTCCCTATGCATTGCAAATATCTCTGGGTCTGGAACAAGGTTGGAACTTGTCATGCTAAATCTGAATCATGTAAAAATCTGTGTTGCTTGATTTACCAAAAGCACTTGTGACCTAAGCGAGACGTCGCAGTTTGTTCTCATGCAGAACAGGCATCATAGATCTATCACAGAATCTGTCATGCTATGTCCTACATACCAGACCTCATGGGTCATGAAAAACCTGCATGACAAGTCTAGCACTCTTCCAGGCCCAGACATATTTGCAGTTGATATTCCCCGCCGAAAGGCCACAACTTCTCCAGCATCTATATCGACTGAAAATACGCCTGGGTTTGGGATAAGCGCGTTTTACTTATATGTGAAGAATTGCTCCACGAAATGCGAATTTTCGCACCTAGCGAAAGAGGAGGACTTTTTTGATGAATAGCACAAAAGATTCGACAGCTTGCTTGAAAATGGGAAATCGCGCTCTTGCATGACAGACAACTGCCGCTCCTCTGCTTCGTGCATCACACATTTTGGCTTCATTCCAAATGTGCAATGCAGTTCCGCAGTCCCCCACACCCAGACCTCCTTGCAGTGGATAAAGTCGGAATACCACGCCTGGACCATGAAGCAGCATCAGCATCCGCAGGTGGTAAGTGCAGTGTGTATAATTACTTAGTGTCCAAGAAAATTTCCATTCTCATCATGAGAAAGCGTCTTCGTGATGTTCCATTCTTTCTGATGCAGATGAACCTGAACGCACAGAAGGTAAATCCCTTAGATTCATCTCTTCACCGACCTATTTGTCAGTACTAGTTATGCATGAGAAACAAAAAGTGGTATGATTCATTCTGAAACATAAGAGTACTTTTCCGAAAACACAACAGCAGCTGATCGGGGCCAAGAAGGAACCCATCGCGGAAAAATCTGGTTTTTTGTCCAAAATCCAGAAACGAATTTTACGAGAAAGGAACCAAAATAAAACCGTCATGCTTTTTGTACAACAACTGCGCTCTCCCGTTTGATACAATTTGCACGTTGACTGGGCTAAGTCTTAGATATGCATTGCAACTGTGCCCGCGTCTAGGACGAAAGTTGACGTGATCATGTTCCTTTTGCTGCTGTCGTGCGAAGACGACGGAATTTGTCATGCAGAACGACATGTACGCCTCGGTGCCAGAAGTGCAATTGACAATTGTGCGACATACTAGCGTGACGTCTTTCCCTGGTACAGCTATTCGGCAGTAAACCGGCGGCGGGGAACGGCATGACTCTGGACAGCGGGGCGACGATGAACCTCTCGGACGAGGCGGGGAGGCCGCTATCAAAAGGACAAATCCTCCCTCCCCATATCAAAACGAAGTTTCTGATGCTGGATTTGAGTACACAAAAGAGACTTGTCTTGCTAGAGACCACTGCAGACCCATATCCAACCTGAGTAGAGACAGAGAAGCTTTAACCCAGGCACCTAGCATGGAAAACGTCCGTACTGTAGGCCTAGCAGCATGACAAACCGCCTGCATAATGCGGCAGAGCCGGTGGAGTTGCCGTCTTGCAAGACAGACGCGATTTGTGGCCACAAATCAGCAACACAAGAAATTTTCGAAAACCTACCGCGTCAATATGGGGAGGGGGGATTTTTCCTCACGATAGCCGCTGTTTTACAGCTAAAGAGACTTTTATCGAAAAAAGTAGTGGAGTCTCAACACTCCATCAGCACGTAAAACTCCGGTTTATTTCAAATCATGTTGAACAACATCTCATTACAATGCAGACCTGGCACTTACTCGTATTCGATTTCGACGACTTTAATATTACAATTCAACGTACAAAGCACCAAGCTCAGCTGTCAAATTAAACTTGAATACACTAATACACCAAAGAAGCTGCGCTTCTCGAGCAGAGGACGTATCCAATTTATTATAGGCTGTTGTAAAATTAAACATTAATGTACAAAAATAAGAAGTGACCCCGAGCAATAATTTTCCCCTACCTCGTCCTCCTCCGTTTGCGTAAACGAGCACAGCAATGCATCTAGCAAAGAACCAGACCGCTAACAGTATAGCAGATGACAGATACCAACTTCAGCCCCCGCGTTTCGGGCGCTAGTGCCGTCCGATGTGAGACTACAGATGAACAAGAGATATTTACTTATTCAAGTACTGTACAAACGAGACTGTATTCAAGGTCGTAGAAATACAAATATTGTTTTACTGTATACTAAGAACACCGAGAAAACTACAAAAACTGAAAACACTGTTGAGAAAAACGCTGAAAATAACGCACTGCATGCGTACGAGCACCGTTAAGACCTGCCACTAGAATCGTGAAGGCTCTCTGCCACTAGAATCGCACCGAAATCTCAAGCACCGTTCCATCTCATGGTGTGTAACAATTGGGCTGTGGACCGTTCTAGTTGTACCATCTCAATGTAATTCTCAGCCACTATATTGGGATCTTCTGTTCTATCCGTGTTGCATCCAGGATCTACAACTTTTAGTTGTGGGCGGTCGGTTACTCGTCGTATCGAATACACGATCGGTATCACCTCCGGCGGGGAGGAAAAGCAGTTTTTGTTGTCAACTCAGGTTTTTGTACATACCTGTCTTTTTTTGCCTCTAAGGGCCGAGTGAGAGAGAGAGAGAGAGAGCAGTCTGACTACACGACGCTTGTTCTTCGTCACAGTGTGGTCGTCTTCGCACCACTGGATCATCGGTCAAGATCTTGTTTCTTCAGAAGAGCATGTTTTTTCACACGCATCAAGAGCTTGTTTTTTTTTCATACCTTGCGAGTAAGGGTAGTGTCACCAAAACCCATATATAGATGAATCCTCGAAGGAGCGCATGACAAATGCAGAGGTGTAGACACGTTTCAATCGAGCCAGTTTTGGTTCACAGGTCAAGGTGGAGGGAAGATTAGCATCTTCTAGAGCACTCGGATTCTTGAGCCCGGAATCACGAATATCAAGCTGATTTATTTGAAGAAGATGAAGATCCAAACTAATTGTGCAAAACCTTTGGCTCAAAGCGAGCAAAGGCACACAGACAGTATTTTGTCCTAAACGCGAAAGAGTAACTTCTACACTTTCATCCCGATAGGTCGATCTTCTGTTGCAGCACAAGGCAAGATCCAAACTTCAGCACGCCGCTCTACTTGCGGGTCCTAGTATTTCTAGCCTGAAAGAGCAAGAAGTCGTCCAGCGAGCATATCAGCCTTTTTCTTCTGAGGGTGGTCTCTGTATTAACTCAGCAAGCAAGAACGCGAATCGAGTAAAGACATCTCGATATTAAAAGAGCCCAAGAACGCGACCCGGGTTTTGTGAATCCTCAAGTTGCTTCTTTTTTTCCACATCAGTCCTCTTAAGCCAGGTGTTAGTACGTAAGAAATGACAAAAATGATATTGCGACTGTCCATTTTGTTCTAGTGGTTGTTAATCTGCGACGAGTGGTGAATTGTAAGAATTTTTTGCATGATACAGTGGTATTTTTTTTCTACAGCGACATATCCTGTGTGAAAACGTTTCGACCCCACAGTCATGAAGTTCTAGTGAAGCTGACGCATGACAAGTTTGGTGGGTATGCAGTGTACTAGACGTTCCTAGCTAATGCGCCACAGATCCGCTGCCCTCTTATCCAACCAGAAGGAGAAAATGGCTTCTGTCATGCTACACTACATCCTCAGCATGCAAATTTGCATGACAAATCTAGGGCGGATGAAACGTTTTTGCACAGGATGTGACAGCACGGTTGTGATTCTTTAGCGACACGTAAAGATTACTATTCTTCAGCGACAACTGTAATTCTAGAGTTTTATTTTCCGGCCCTACTCATCTCTAAATATCAATATGCCCGCCCTTCCCCAATCTCGGCCAGTTCCCAACGCGGGGGACTGGCCGCGATTGGGAGACAACCCAGCCAAGCCCGGCACTATGGTCGTGTTCGGACCCCCGCAGATGCCCCGCAACCAGGTACACAAGTACCTGGTTGCCGGGCAAGGCTTGGCGCGGCAGATATCCTGAGTAGAATAAACATCCCCGCCCCAGAGTTGTCACGCAGAATCTCCATTGCAGCAACTGCGCCGGTTTGTAATGCGCATCCACATCAGACGCATGGTTCTCAGTAGTGTCTTCGAATTGAATTTGTAATGCTAATGTTGTAAATAGGATAGTTAGGCGCTCCTGGGTTTGTAATGTTGCAGCGGCTGCCCCTGCGATCCTGCCCTATAATACAGAGAAAAGTTTGTCATGCGTGACAGCCATCAATTATACTTCACGATTTGTGTTGCAGGGTTTCTAACTTGACTATGGGACGGGGACGTTTTTACTCAGGATAGCAGATTGGGGTGGTGCACGTGGAGAACGGGGCGGCGATTCTGGTCCCGGCAGATGAAGACTTGCGACTGTTTATGGAGAGCGCAGACTGGCAAAATGATTTATGCACTTGCAAAGAACGTCTCTGGGTCCTCTGGCGCGATTTGCAATGTTTCACTGCCATGATCATGCTGTTGTTTATGAACGTCGCGCAACAGAACTGCCTCTCTGTGATGCAAACGCGCAGTTCTTTCTCCTGGGCCTGATGCACTTTACTGACACAACCGCACAAAAATTTTCATGCTGCTTAGGTGCCCTTCACTGCATTCAGCTACTCTTGTTCACCGATCGATTTATCAGCAAAACTGGACAATAATTTTCATCCAGGGGAGGAGGACCCAGGACTTCTATTTGCAGTGCATATGAGGATAAGACGGCCTACGAGTTCTTCGAGCATATCCTGCGTATTGCACGGAAGTGGGCGACATCAAATGCAAATACGTCTGGGTCTGGAAGAGTTCAGCCACCGGAACTGAGTCCGCGGCAGAAGCGGGAGGTGGAGGTGGTGACCTATGTCGCGGTATGGAAGCGCCTCCCTGGACGTTGGTAACGTTGAGGCGAGAATTTGTAATGCATAAAGCTCCTCCTCAGGAGCACGCCCATCGTCCACCATCACCCTGCAGCGACTTACAGCCAGCCACAGTAGCAGCTGCCTCCACTGCAAGAACACGAGCACGCTACATCATGTTGTCGCATCAAGAATAAACTTTATGTGTATGTTTATGAAGTTTTTTCACCTAAACAAGTTTCCAACGTTTGGTTTTGCTTCCATAGGTGCAGTGTAATCTTTATCCTGACTAAAAATGTCCCCTCCCCAAAGTCCAGATCATAAGGATTTATTTGCAGCACAAACCTAGACCTTTTGGGAGTCACGCATCACAACAAGTTGAAGTCCATATTGTCGTGCAGGTGATGAAGACCATTGGCATCCTAAGTCCGTCAGCTTGTCCTGTTTATAGCATGACAAATCCGCCTGTCATGAGAAGTTTGCGCACTACGAAAATTTCTGTAGATGCGAACCTGCATGACAACCTTGGGGTGGAGACATTTTTGCTCAGGATAATCCTCCGCTCGCGGTGAAGTTCGTCCCCGACCAGGAGCTGGAAAGCTGTATCACACAGAAAAAAGCTGGCGCGGCACATTTGTAATGCAAAAATACATACACAAAAAAATCTGTATTGCATATCTGAAATAGCATGCTACGGGGCCAGCACCCATGACAAATTTTTCTGTGACTGTGTATTTATTTTTGCATTACAAACATGCCCTGCCAGCTTTTTTCTCTAGGATAAAGTGCGCGCTCGGTGTATGGAATTCGCAAGTGTTAGTACACTGGTCGTTGTATTACATGACTTCAAGAACGACCCGTGCCAAAAGAAGGATCCTTCTGTTCCTTTCTTCTGGCACGAGTCGTTCTTCATTTTTTTGAAGATTTACTTAGCGCTACAGGAGTTTGTCATGCAAGCTACCATGATCATGCAGAATGAATCTGAGATGCGTGGTTTCGCATGACAAATCATAGGAAACGACGGCATGTAACACCACTCAGTGTACTTAACGCTTGCGAAGGCTATATCGCATTGACCTGGAGAACCAAAACGCACCGCGGATACCATGGACGGGGAATGGCCTTGCCGTGCTGACCATGGAGCCGCTCCCGACGGTCTTCAAGGACTTGCTGGAGAGGGACGACAAGGAAACGGTCGGACGCGGAATTGCGGCGTGTGTTGACCAGCACCACGCTTACGGGATTATCAAAGGAGACCAATTTTTGCGCAACTACGGTGCCAGGGAGGATGGAACGGTGGTGGGATTCGACTATGGCGATGCAGCGCTCTGTTGCGACATGCCTGACCCGGTCGAGGCGATGCGGCTGGAACGAGATGACGTGCAGAAAAACATCCTTGTGGACGCACTGGGCCTATATCAAATGCCAAAATGTCTGGGTCTGGAAAGATTCGAATTTGAATTTGTGATGCGAAGTCTACATCAAGATAAAATCTGTCATGCATGGCTAGCAAAAAGCCCCATTTCTTGTTTCCGAGAAGGAGGATTTGTCATGCGGATTAGGCATTGGAATAAGTGCTCAAAATCTGTGATGCTAGAGCTTGCATGCCAGAAGATCTGGGTCAGGCAAAAACTGCATGACAGATCTCGCATTCTTCCAGACCCAGACATTTTTGCAATCCATAGCCTATCGGAAGCAACCGCTGCGGAAATCGTCGGTGAAATGCGTTGCAACAAACTGCAAAGTATCCCGCGGAAATCGACCCAGTTTGAAGATGTCCCGATGCAGCCCTGTCCAAGATTAACGGCCCTGGCGTGCGACATGTTCAAGGACGCTTTGGCGGGCGAGTCCAGCTGCCTGGTGCAAATTGAGTGGGGGAACGTCTGCGGGACTCTGGCCCACGTGGCCCAGGAGATTTTTTTGGAAGCAGTGGGAAGCGGGCTCGTGACGACTGTAACCGGGCTTGCCGTCTTCACCGGCAAGGGCGAAGTCGTGGAAATTGCAACCGGTAGGACGCTACGCATTGCAAAACTATGACTATCGCACTCATATAAATGCATACACAAATCGCCTCAGCCTGAGAAAGAATATTTGTAATGCGGATGTGCCTTGGAGACAAGATGTGTAATACAAGAGCTGCGCTTATTACTCGTCCTCAGCGTGAGAAATAAAATTTGTAATGCAGATTTGCCTTGGAAACAAGATTTCTAATACAAGACTTGCATTTATTATTTGCACTCGTGTAAATGCATGCACAAATTTCCTCAGCATGAGAAATAATTTGTAATGCAGATTTGCCTTGGAAACTAGCAAGATTTGTAATTACAAGACTTGCGTTTATTGTACGAGTGCGATACTTTTGCACAGGATAGAAACTCCCCGTGTTTGCATCGAGTTTGGAGACCGTCCAAGGCATCGAGTGTGGGTGTACGGATGAAGATAAATACTTGGCGAGCGATTTCTTCAACAGAGCAGCACTATATCGATTGCGAATATGTCGACCTCTGGAAGCCTGCTGAAGTTTGTCATGCAGCCCTTTCATGCTCTACGAAGTGCGGAATGGCACCTGTGGCGTCACAGGTAGCTTTGCGAATGCCTCCGAGGAATCCCCACACCTTGATACCGCATGAATAGTCATCCCTTCAGTAACACAGCATGACTTCGCATGCTCGCTACATTTTAACCCAAAGACGAAACTCTTTGGCTCAGTACACTAGAACAAGTGATCAATTTGTTTTTGTGATCGTGAAATAGGAATTTTTGCAGTAACCAGCGCTAGCACGATCAGAACTTCGCATCTTTTTTCAGACTGAGACGTGTTTGCAATGCATAGTGGCGAACCTCGGCTGCCGACGATCATCGTGCTGGACTTCGCGCGATGGCGAAGTCCATCACGCGACGCGTTCCGGGACACTGCGCCGGGTATCCTGAGGAAAAACGTCCCCACCCCTCCTGTTTCCTTTTGTGAAAATTCGAAACTTCGCTGTGCTTTAAATTGGTCTTTATTTCCAGCACATAAAACACCCCGCCAGAGCTGTCATGCAAATCTACATGCTTAAAATGTTTTTCATGCTGAGCCACATGTTGATAAGGAGCATCGTCTAGTCACGTTTTGGACTTTGTGATACTCGACTCAGTATTACGCCCTAGATCTGTGATGTTGCTGAACTAGCTAAACAGGATTACTCTACTACGAGGCCAAGTTTGTCATGCGCAACAGCCAAAGCTGGTTGGTTTTTCTGTCTAGGAGATTTCCCAACTTGGCTATGGGGTGGGGACGTTTTTGCTCAGAATGCCGGGTCGTATCGCCTTCCTGTCCGGCATCGAAGTCGAATATCGTGGGAGAAAGCCCCCCCCCATATCTAAAAGCAAAAATGCCTTACCGCATGACAGAGCGCATTTGTGTACGTAAACCCAGCCCCAGCATTGGCGTTTTGATATGGGGAGGGGGGCCTTTCCTTTTGATATCGACCTCACCCCCCTCAAGACAGAGACGACCGCGCCCCTCCTGCCTGCCTTGCGCCGGAGCAAGGTGATGAAATACGTTATCAACTGTAAAAATGTCTGGGTCTGGAAGGGTTGGAACTTGTGATGCAAACGCTGGAACACACAAAAATTTGTGTTGCATGAGCTCCAAAAGCTGTCCATTTCTTGGCACGCAAGTAGGAAGCTTCTCATGCGGGAGAGGCAGCATGAGGCGTGCTCAAAACCTGTGATGCTTTTGTCTGCATCAGACGCCATTTGCGTGATCCGAAATATGCATGACAAATCTCGCAATTGTCCAGACTCAGACACTTTTACATTTGATACACGTATCTGGGTCGCAAATCGGGTCGCTGGAGAAGCTGTATCTGGGTCTCATGATCGACGCGAAATATCGCGCAGAAAAGCACAACCCCCACAATTTCGGAAGCAAGGCAAACAGGTGCCGCACGAGTATATGCACCCAGGAGTCCTCTCGTGGTCATCGGTGCTTCTGCCTGTTGACCTAGACGGCTCTCTCGGTCTTGCGTGTTTGTTTCAGCGCAGTCGAAGTTTTGCATTCAGTGACTGGCGATTTTAGCATATGAACCAGTACACGAAGGGTACCCAGTACGCGAAGGGTACCTACAACATACGAAAGGGGAAGAAAGCATACGAAAGGGAAGAGGAACACATAAATCCGATATACAAAAATGCAGTTTTTGTATGTACTGCCGGACACATACAAGGGACTTGTATGGTACAAGAAAAGCGCACGGACCGCGTGGCGTTCGAGTGTGGGAGCACAATGAGCTGTGCGTAAAGCGGGCCACAATCCACCGCGCGCGAAAAGACCTCGCCGCGGAACACCTGAAGAGCGCAAAGGGAGGCCCGCGGAGTGCGCACTGCGAACAAGGAGCGACACAAGCAAAGAACAGGAGTGCTACACCAGAAGCGAAAACCCTACCACAGGCCCGGATGCCGGCAGCACAAGACGGCGAGGTGCGGCGGACGGAGTATGCTGCTTGCGGGAGTCGGCACGGGTGGACCAGGCCCGTGTTGCGCGTAACAGAGCTTGCGTCGGCAGGCAAGAGCGGCGCACTGCGGGGGAGCGGCCGTGGCGTGTGTTCGTGTGGAAGCGAAGCATTCCGGAGTTGCTGTTCCGCCGGCGAGTCGCCGCAGCGTCGAGGCCGTGGTAAGGTCTTTGCAAAAAGTGAAGCGCGCCCATGTACTCAGCGAGCGAAGCCCCCCGCGCACAACACGCGCAACACGAAACGCCCCGAAGCGGCCCTCGGTGGCACGCAGCGAAACCGAAAAGCGCGGGCGGGAATGTAGCGCGCCCGGAGTTCGAACATGTTTCTTTCGTCAGCCGTGGCTGATCTTGTTTCGGTGTGGTGCAATGAAGTGTGTGTTTCGTCACAAGCGCACGAGCGCGCGTCCAAGAAAAATCACCGCCCGCCGCACACGGCGGCGGCACTGCTGCTACCCCCGCTGGAGGACGACCGGAGGGAGGGCAACCGGAGTAGACGCGGCAGCCCGTAGGGGGTCGCGTGCGCAGATGGACCTGCGCAGGAGCACTTGGCGGGGGGTTAGGGGCCACCGGCTGTTGGAAAGCGCGCACGGGCCGGCGGTCGTCTGGCAAGTGTCCGTCGGGCCCGGGACACCGAGCGAAGGATTGGCGGCGCAGGCGAGATGCGCGGGCATAATTTTATATGAATATGTGGTAAAAGAGCATGTTAGCATGAAGGAGTAAGGGAAATAGAAATCAAAGAGCGCCCGCGGCGCCAACAGCAGCAAAATACATAGGTCCCAAGCGTAGCGGGCATCTACTCAACGACTAGAACTGCGTAGCAGACTTGTTTTGTGTGTACAAATAGCATAACTAAATGCAGCGCGAGCCTTAGTTGTACATGCATAGAAGGGGAGGGTGGGAGGGAGCCCGGGTGTAGCAGGTAATGCGCCGTCTGGTTTGGGCTGCCGCACATGCGTCGCAGGGAGCTTCAAACCACTCTTGGCGCATTACTTGCTCGGGCGAATAATGCGCGTTCCGATGTGCGGGCACAGAACGGAACCGGAACACCTCGCCGAAAATGCATATACGTAAGCCCCCGCGCCTCGTCACGGCGCTCGCGCAAAGCGGGGGCCGCCACAGGGGGAGGGCGCCCTGCGACGGGGGGAAATTCCCCGGGAGTGTATCTAAAGCCCCCCGCCCAGATGCTGTCATGTTGACGTCTAAAAGGCGGCGGTAGAGAGCGCCGCGCGGAGGGCAAAGGACGACGTGGAGCACCTACCGAGAGGAAAAGGGAACGCGCTACCAGGGTGCACCCGCGACCCAATATGTGCGCGCGTGGGCAGGCGCGCGCAACTAGATGGACGTAGCGGAATAGCACAAGGAGCCGACGCGGGGAACACCGTTGCGACCGCCCGAGGCCGCAATAAGCGTTCGCCGGCGGAGTACGGGCGCCGAGAAGCGAGGAGCCTACCTATAGCATGCAACATGACAGCGGATGTTGGCGGGGGCGGAACTTTCTAGCCGGAGGCATTTCTAATACGCGCGCTAAATTTCTAAGAGAAGGAAAGGCAACAAAAGGAACGACCGCGTCCCCGCACATGCAGCGGGGCGCAGCCCACAAGAGCCGGGCGGCCGAAATGGCGTAGGAGTCCGGGACCCGGCGCTGTGTGCAAACCGTAGCAACAGCAAGTCGGGGTGGCCGCCCCGGACACACGTACGCGCGAGTTCCCGCTGAGGAACAGAAGATCCAAAAAAAAAACGTACAGAATACTGCGGACAAAACAGAAGCGGCGTGGCGTGCAGTGCAGACTTGTGCAACGCATGCACTTACATCCCCTAAATTTTGGCGAACTTACAACTTTGTTTTGCAATTTCGAACGGAAACTTTAGAAATTTCATGCACTGCTGGTGGCAAGAGAAAGAACCGAAACGCTACTGACAGTTTCGTGGTGGTGAACGTCCAGAAAATGAAGCACGGAGAAGGTCCAGAAAAAGAAGCCAGGAAAGAGACACAAATACACCTACCGCTACTTGAAAAAGCGCGCCCCGCCGGCGGGGAAATGAGAGGCCGATGACCTCGAAAAGATCCAGAGAAATGCACTATACCACCGTGGAAAAAAGAGCGAAATATAAAAAACGGAAACACACGCCAAAAGAGAGCGGCGTGACCGACCGCGTGGGGCGGGAACCCACTAAGCGGCCCCCTTGATCCCTCGAACGGGCGCCGGCCCCCCGAGAATACAAATCGGCGCCCCACCCATCGCAGCTGCAGCGCAACTATGCCCGCAACTGTCATGAACTCTGTAGAGCCGTGCCACGGGCTCCGCGGAGCCGATGACAGGGAGGGCGAGGGAAGAACTCCCCCGGCGGGCGTTTACCGCATTTCGAACGGATTAGGCGCCCGCCCTAATTGCTAAATCGCGTGTTTGTGTACCAATGCGCGGCGGCCGGGGAACTATAGAAGAAATGGGCGAAGGGAAAGGGAGACGCGGCTCAAAACCACCACGCATGCGCCATCCACCGTCGCGAGACCGACACTAGACAGAACAGCCAACCCCCGAAATAGGGGCTACAACGCGATCGGAAGCTAATAGGGCCCGCCAGAGGCCCCGAGCAGAACGAAGAACCTAAGCTACATAATATGGCTCGCAAGATGCTTTATATTCTAATGGAAGAAACCTTGAGCGGAAGGGGGGGCGGGAAGGTTGTGGAACTTTAAAACCTTAGAGATTTACATGCAGACTGTCTCAAATTTTTTGGTTTTCATTTGCGAGCAAGTTAATAATAATGCATAGGACAAGCTAAAATAGTCGATGGCACCCCGCTACTGCCGGCGGGGCGCAGGGTCTCACAGCTCATCCGAAAACCCAGGAAGAGAAGCCGGAAGCGGAACCCTGGAGACGCACGTTGTGACGGAACCGAGGTCGGACGCGAGCGCGACCTCGGTTCCAACAGCAAGCGAGCCCGGTCGCGAAGGGGTTCCGGGATTTCACTTACATCGGGGTCCCGGCCCCCCGCTCTTCCCCAACGAAACATCCCCCCAAGCAAGCAAGTGGCGCCCGAGAAAGTACCATACGTAGCCCCCTGACGCAACCGGAGACCCACCCCGGTCAGCTGCAAGTAAACACCGTACCCGGGCCCCCGCCCGGCGGCTTCCCGGAGCAAATTTCCGAAAAGCGGTCCCGGGGGCGGACGGTCGTCCGGGTTGGCTCCCGTCCACGGGTACAGTGTAATGGCAAGCGCCTGGCCATACGCGTAGAGCAACAGACGATGCCCACGCGAAAGCGCCTTGCACTGCAGCAGAAGACCCTCGATGTGGTGCTCCCCCCGCGGCTGTGCGCGCCTCGTAGCGAGGTTGGGGAGAGCGATCAATGGCACGGGCGCTGCAAGCGGAAGCGGGTCTGGAAAATCGCCAAAGCGAAATCCGCCCCGCGGGAAGCGTTCCAACCCCCCGCCCCGGGGGTGGGCGGCTTCCCCCGCGCCCGCGGCAACATCTTCTCCGACCGGAGGCGGGGAAGCAGCAGGGGAAACCGCAGCGGGCGGCCTGGCGTCCGCGGGGGCAGGAGTCTCCGCAGGAAGACCGCCCGCGGCGCGTGGCGCCTCGCGGTCCGGCGAAGCCCCACGGTCCAGCTCGACATTCGCGACGGAGCGGCGGAGGCGCTGCCGCTTCTGCCCCTGGCCGGGGGCAGACTCCACGACGAGAGTCGTGCCGTCGATGGCTGCAACACGGAACCCCAGCAGCCAGTTGGCTTCCTGGACCCGCTGGCCCGCGACCGTGCGCAGGTTGCCCGCCCGGGGGTTGCGAACTTTCACCCGGGCGCCGACGGGGAAAAGCTGCAAACGGTCAACGACCGTCCCCCGCCGCGCCTGGGTGTACCTGCGCACGCGCCTCTCCGCCTCAGCCATGGCCCGCTCGTTGGCGACGTCCCGCAACGCCGCCAACGCCGCGGACCGCGGCGGCACCGCCTGCGGCACCGGGCTTGGCGGCGCCGCGGGAGCGACAACCACCGGAGGCGAAGGCGCCCGCAGTGGGGCAGCTGCCGGCGGGGAGCTGCTTGCGGGCGGGCGAGCGGCGAGCGCCGCGCCCGCGTCGGGCGGCACCTCCTCCCCAGCTGCGGCGGCAGCCGGGGCCTCCGGCGAGGCCGGCGGCTGCGGAAGCGCGAGCGCCTCCGCCACCGCCCGCGCCTGTCGTGTGTGCGGCGCACACCCCCGGACGAATGTCCAGGGGGACTGACCATGCTTCCACGGTTTTGGGGCGGTATTATACCGAAACACCGCCCGCGGAAGCAGGTCAGCCCACGACTGCCCCGGAAACTCCAGGGCCAACGCCGAAAGGATTTTGGACAACGAGACCCAAACCACCTCCATGGCCCCGTTGCCCTGTGGCCGCCCCGGCTCCGTAAACGACACCGAGCAGCCCCACTCCGAAAGGAGGAGACCCCACTCAGTGCCGTTGTCGCAAACCACATGCTCCGGCAGCCCCCAGCTGCTCTCCAGCGGCGAGTACGCCAAAAGCGTACAAGCCGCGGAGTTGTTGGCTGCCGGGGCCGCCCACAATTCCCCACCGACGGCACAGACGGCGCCACAAATGGCAACCGCCTGGCCGGGGGTGGGGTTTGTGGCAGTGGGGGAAACCGTGCAGCGGGGCATCACTTTCCGATCTATGTGGATCTTGCGATAAACTTTATCGGAAAGTGATCCGTGCTCCGCCGTAAGTGCAGCAGCGCTGTACGGCGGCGGCGCGGCGGGGACCACCGCGCGCGCCGCACAGACGCGGCAACGCGCGACGACCTCGCCGCACACCCGCGCGGCGTTGGGCGCGTAGTAGCCAGCCTCCAGCAAGGCGGCATGCGTGGCATCGCGCCCCCGGTGCGCGATTTCATGAATTTTTGTTGCGGCGGCGGCCGCTTCCTCGGGGCTCTCCAGCACGGTGAGCCAGCCCGTGGGCTCACGGAGAATTTCCACGCGCTCTTGGCCGGCGTCCGCGGCGGACGCCCCGACCTTGAGGCGGTAGCAGCGCCGGTTCTTCCGCCACCAAAACCGCTTTTTTTTGGTGCGGAGCGACAGCACCAATGGCTGCCCGGCGCGCTCTCCCCGGAGGGCGTCCCCGATCTCCTGCCAGCTCAGAGCCCGGGGGGCACGCTTGGTGCCGGCAACGAGCTCTTCATCTGGTCCCACACTGCAACTGTCGTCTTCCCCGCCCTCGTCGCTCAACTGCTCTCCCACGCCCCCGTGCGCGGAGGGCGGTGTTGCGACGGAGTCCTCGCTTGCTACCGCAGCCGCCGCTACGGCAGCCGGGCCCGCGGACGAAGAAGTTGCGGCCGGGGCGCCCGCGACATTCGCAGCCCCGGCTGCCGCGTTGACAGCAGCAACGAGGCCAGCTTCCGTCCGCCGACGCTTGGTGGACGGGGACAGGCTGTCGCCATTCGCGACGGGGTCTTGGTCGTCGCTCAACAGATCCGCAACGTCTGTTGCAGGCTCCTTGCCCGGCGGAGGCCCGGCCTGGCCTCCCACCGGCAAAACAGACTGGCTACTGGCCGCACCCGGAACCACCGCGGGCACAACGGGGGGCGAAACGGAAGCCACCAAAACACCCGCCGCCGCGGCCCCACTGTGCGGCGGCGCCTCCGTAGGAACTGCCGGCGGAACCTGTCCGAGGGCGGCGTAGATGGCGAGTTGGCCGGGCGTGAACCCGCGGCGAGAACGAAGGTAGCCCGCTGCTTCGATCTCGCCCGCGCCCTGCGCCACTCGCACCCGGCAGACAAAGCCGCCCGCCGCGGGCTTTGGGTTTGTGGTCAGCGGGACGCGACCGGCCTGCCCCCGCTGGCAGGCGGAGGCGTCCACGCCAGCTGTGTCAGCATACACCTGCCGCCGAACCTGTTCGACGGCTTCCCCTGGCGGCGCGTCAACCACATACCAAAACTGAAACCTTTGCGCGCTGGTCTCGGTGACCAGCCGCGGCTCCCCGGCGCCGGCCGGAAAACCCGGGGGAGCCGGCGCGCCGGCGTGGTCGATGTCTATCATGACAAACGCTTTTGCTGCCGCTAATGGCAAGAAGAACAGATGCGCGCCCTGCTGCTGCGCGTCCACAGCCAAACGCGGTAGGGCCGCGCCGAGGTCCCCCCGCTGGACCTCGCGGCGGTAGCCCTGCCGGCCAGCCACCTTGACGGTGAAGGCGAAGCTCGTCGCCTCCGGAAACGCCGTGAGTAGGTGGCCGGCGGCAACCCCAGCGCGCAATCTGTAAATCTCCGCCCAGTCCCAGTTGCTGGCGTCGTGGGCGGGCACTGGTGGCGCAACCGGCGGGGCCGGAGCCGGCGCAGCCGAAACGGCAGACGCCAAAGAGGCGCCGGGCGGCCCGGCGTCGCCGCTGCTGCTACCTCCAACCGGAACCACCGCTCCTCCCGGCGCCTCGTCCGGGAAAGGAGTGGGCTCCGGTAGCTGCAGGCTAAATTGCGCCCGCAGTTTTTCTAACCAGCTGCTCTGGCGCTCCGACAAGGAGCGCAGCCACGGGGCCCGCACGAGAAAATCTCGTGCGTAGCCCGCCCCGCTGAGGCCGTCTACGGTGACTGCCCAAGCAGCCTTTTCCCGCACGCGGGCTGCGAAAGCCTGCAGCCGAGCGGAAACCGCCGCCCCGGGGCCGGCAAACTCAACCCGCGCCCAGGCGGACCGCTCGGCATCCGAAAAGGACGCGTCCGCGGCGATGGCGTGGGCTGTGGCCGAGGCCTGCAAGCCCTCCCACTTCCGCTGCATCTCTAGCAAAACCTTCCCCGTTGCCGGCGTGGCCGGCGGGGGGTTTTCCCCCTCCCACGCGCCCGGGCCGGCGCGGTCACCTAGAAAATTTTCTTCAAACTCGGTCATGAACGACGCGAGCGGGCTCGCGGCCCATTCCTGGAGGCCTTCCGCGACCTCCTGCTGGTTCATTTCGTTTGCAGTAGTCATTTTGCTGATACTCCACTACTGCTCAGATGCAAAAAATATGGGTGTGCACCCCTTCCCAAAATGTTTTTCCTGTGTGTGCTGTCCCGCCCAAAGATTATACTTTTTTTGCTTCTGCTGCTTCCCTCTGAATAGTTGCTTTTTTCACGATATTTCTATTGCTGCCACTTAATGCTAATTAATAACGCCTTCAGATACGACGTCGGCGCTGGTATATCGGTGCCGATGTGCAAAGCTTGTATGCGTAAGTTCTGATCGATGTGAGTGCTGCCTGTGTATAAGACCTTGCTTGTGTATAGATACGTAGATACTAGCTGTGTATGAAATACTGCCTATTTTTCACCTCCAGTGCTTGCTTTTAAAATGTGTGTCTACTTTCCTTGTCTACGGGTGCGCGAGAAAAATTATGCTTGATAGCTGTGGGTTGCGAGCTGTTGCTCTCTGATAGCTGTGTGCTACGCTTGGGACCTGGCTGCGTTGTGTATTCCACCAGCAGTAGCGTGATCAAAACTAGCGGCGCGCGCGCGGTGGAGACCTCTTGCGGATCGATATTTTGTTAGCAGGCGGCGGGGCTGCGCTTGCAGGCGGCGTTTCGAGTGAAAACATACAGGGACCGAGGGTGTTTCGCGTGCGCGATTTGGTAGCTAACAGAACTCTCTCGCTCCTTAGCGCTCTTGCTGCTGAGTCTACTGATTTAAAGTGGAGAGGACCGAGGCGTAGCTCTTCTTCAATGTTTTTCACTGAGTGGTTGTTTTGTTTTGGTTACGCAGCTGCGTGTCGCAGTCGGACAAAACCAGGGCAATATAAAACGAGGGCGCAGGGGCATCGTAGGACCAGTTGCGTACGGGGCCCCCAGTAGTTACAGGGGGCCCCGTACTTGACGGCCGGGCCAGTGCTGGAAGGGTCCGGCGGGACCAGAAGGGGCCAGACAAAATGGCCACTTTATATGCACTGGCGATTTTTATGCGGCGTTTGTTCTAGGACAGGAAGGGGCAGGGTCCTTCGTGTACTGGCATACAAATATATTATGGGGGTATCAGTCGTTACTGGTTCACATAATTAAAGAAGTGGGGTCGTGCTAATATTTTTCCGTAGGATACCAGGGTCTACCTCCGCGCACTGTCGCCTGGCAAAGATATCAACTGCAAATATGTCTGGGTCTGGGTGGGTGTAAACGTTTGTAATGCAGGTTTTGAAAGACCCAGAGCATCTTCTGGCATGCAGGGACCAGCGTCACAGGTTCTTCGAGAGCCTCACGAGACCTCCTCTGCATCAGAAGCCCGCTCTCCCCGTGCTGGCAAAAAAGAGGCCACGACGCTGCCTGTTTATGCAAGACAAATTTTTGTATGATCTAAAATGTGCATGACAGGTTGCAACCTTCCAGACCCAGGCACATTTGCACTTGATAATCGACGAACCGTTGTCCCCGGATCTCCAGGACGACTTTGAGGAAAACTTGGTGAAGCCGTTCGCTATCACACTGAAAAATGCCCCTCTACCAGAATGCCGAACAGGTTGCATCGCGTGAGCTTTCCACATGGGAAACTATTTTCCCCTGCAAGACACGAACGCGGCGCACTTTATTTTAGCACCGGAACTACGTTATCTTTGTAATGCAATGTCAAAATGACTACAGAAATTGCTTGCGCTGCGGCGCTGTGCAGCAACGCAGCCCTTTGCTGCCATGGCTTGCAAATTTCATATTATTTTCCGCCCTGCTGATACATAAAAAAAGTGTTTCCCTTGGCACTTCTGCACTGCAAAGGCTTTCACATTGTGAGGCGGGTGGACTTTTCAATGTGATACTCGCCACATTTCGCTCGCTGCGCCAGGAAGAGACCATCGCAGAGGAAGTGGACCCACCGCCAGCGCCACCGCCGGGCGACGTCAGCAGTGGGCCTGGGACCGGGAAGAGCAATGTGATTAAACGTATAGAAGTACTTTCTTTTTACCAATTGCAATAGTTATTATGTACTCACCATTGTATATCGAAGTACTCCAGCAGAAATCGCAGATTCTTTGGTGTTTGTGGTTCGAGGAAAATGAAAGCATCCCTATCAGGCAGTGCATCGCATGTGCAGTAAGCTATAATTTTCTTTAATTTATTTTCGTCTTAAGGATAAACGACCCGATCCTGGGCTTATTGAAATACTAAACTTCCGTTCCGTCAGGTTCTTTGCTACAGCGCTCGCCGCCGGGAGCAGCGTCGTCGTCATCGCATGCGGTTTTTATCCACCATAGAAACAACTCTAGTCTTCCCGTGACGAAAACCAAATCAAACGCAGGTTTGGATGTTCATAAAATCGCATTTATCAGATTTGTCATGCGAATAGTTGTTCTTTGAGAAAAAATGCGAATCGTGGTCCTCGCTAAAAATATGTCGAGTTCATCCAAAACATACCGTTTAGAAAGTCCTCTATCTTTCCCGCACGAGAACAGCGTTTGATTTCCGCCGGACCGCGGGACTACAGCATTTTTCCTGCGCGACAAGGCCCGGACCGACGACGAAGAAGCCGCTGTTGGACCGCCTATCACATGTAAAAATGTCTGGGTCTGGAAGGTTGGAACTTGTGATGCTAGCTTTGGACGCTAAGAAAATCTGTATTGCATGACCAGCAAGAGGAGCCCAGGTTGTGCTGCGCGGGGAGGGCATTTGTCATGCGGGAGAGGCATCAGGAAGGCCTCTAAAAATATGTGATGCTAGATCATGCATTACAGACATCCTGACTCATGCAAAATATGCATGACAAACCTTGTAACCTTCCAGACCCAGACATTTTTACATTTGATACCGCCAAGATGGAAACGACGACGACGACGACCAGATGCTGATGTTCAGCTCCGCAATATATCAAATCCAAAAATGTCTGGGTCTGGAAGAAGGTAACTTGTTATGCTAAATCTGAATCATGCAAAAATCTGTGTTGCATGATTACCGAAAGCTGGCCACTTTTGACCTCATCGAGAGGCGGTTTCTCATGCAGGATAGCCATGATACACCTCTCACAGAATCTGTCATGCTATGTCCTACATACCAGACCGCATGGGCCATGGAAAACCTGCATGACAAGTCTGGCACTCTTCCAGACCCAGACACATTTGCATTTGATACTAGCAACCCTAAACCCACGGCCAGCACGCCAGTACGATCTGCAAATCAGTCCAGGCGGTCAGGAAGAATTTGTCATGGGGATGATGAAAGCATGGGCCATCAGGTTGTGCTTGTCACGACGCGGGCCCAACTTTAATAGATACTATGATGCAGAAATGCAACGTGTTATGTGCAATAATGATCAACAACAGCTGCAGCTACCAGGAGCAATTCACATTTTTGTATTGCTTTCCCTCTTGTTTCTGAGGGGTCCTTGTGAATCTCCAAGAAATAGCAGCATCTTCACCTCCTTTTTATTTCTAGCATCCCAGACCTATTTGCAGTTGATAGCCGGGTAAGTGTACCAACAAGTCCTCTCCCGCCGGTGAAAAGTCGTCCTCCACTCTATCGTACGAAAAAAGTGTTTCACTGCAAGGCTTTATACAAGTTTTGCATCGACGAAGGTTGTTCTTCACCAGGAAATGAAAGTGAGAAAACTTGCCATGATGTGCGTTTCCCCCGGGGAGAAACGTAGCTAGATACTCAAGGACAAGGTGTAGCATGCGTAGCTAGAAGACACATGCTTCTGTGTGCCGTTCTTTGCATTTACAAGTTTATTTCAGTGAAGCAATTGTCGCGTTCATAAACTCCGGTCGAGGACGAAGAAGATGATCTTCTGGCGGACGACGCACCTCCTTATGCAAGAAAAAAAGTTGTTCTAGAGTAAACTGCGACCTCGTCTGTAATGCAGATTGTAGCAACGCGAACATGTAGCAACACCCTTGTCATGCTCGCTAGTACCTTTTGGAAAATGATCTCTTCACCCGCTATGTTTTGGGCTTCACATACTAGCTACTTGTTTTTACGCCACAGGCTTTTCTCTGTCAAACAGAGCATCACAGATTAAACCTGTGCCATTAAGACAGATGCTCTCACACCAAGTAGATGAAACCTGCACTAGCACAGCTTTTACATTGCACAGCTTCCGTTCCCGCAGTGCACCGGCACGACCCCCGGAACCGAGAGCGGCAGTGCAGAACCAGTCCTCGAGCGCGGCAGTGCAGAACCAGTCCAGGACTGCAGCTGTACTATCAAAAGCAAATATGTCTAGGGCTGGAAGAGTGAAAGGCTTGTCATGCAGTGCTAGCACGGTTCTCAACTCAAAGCCACGCTTCTCTGTAATGCAAGACGCATGTTTTCTATCTTGCCTGGCAAGTTTTTTGAACAACAATTTGTCATGCTTGGCTATCACTGAAGCTCTCCGTGTGATTCCGATTCGGATTCCCCACATAGTATGACAAGTTTCAAGTCGGCCCAGACACATTTGCAATGCATGTGTCGCTGATCATGACGATAACAACCTGAGCAATAAGGACTTGAAACTGAAAGGTAAGGAGCAGGAGAAAAAAAAGAATAAGAATTCGAAAAAGGACGAGAACAACGGAAAGGGGAAGGACAATCAAGCCAGACGAAGCGTCTCGACTCCAAAACCGACAGCGCTGCTGTCGAAGTCGTACTACACCCAGGCGGGTAGGTATGGAGTGGAAAAAGTTCTTCGTAGCAGTCACTGACTAGCAGGCTTTTTATGAGTGAACCTTTTAGCATGGCAGATTTTTCTTGGATTGCACAAACACAAGATACGTCCCGTATAAATGCAGTTGGACCATGATGCATGTCTTTCTACGCATGACAAACATTTTTGTATTGCAAAAATGCGTACGAGTGGCCGTGACAAACTTTTTTCGTTCCATAGTAAGAAGGTTGCGGAGCGCGAGCTCCTGCGCTCCTACACACGACTGCAAACGAAAAAGGACGAAACCCGACCGGGCGAGATCATCGTCTTTCGGCAAACGAAACCACAACAGGAATCGGCGGACCAGAAGCGGTATAGAGAGCACAACCTGGACCAACTGAAAAAACTCATCGAGACGGGTATCAATCGCAAATGTCTCTGGGTCGGGAAAAGTGCGACGACTGCCATGCATGTTTTCCATGAGGCGCATGACTATGATGCGTGCCGTCGTGGCACAGATTTCTTGATGTATTTTTGATGTTTCTCCCGCATGAGAAATCCCCTCTTCGTAGAGAAAACCTGACCCCCACGTGCTGCTCATGCAACACAGATTCTTTTTTTTAGAATTTAGATGCGGCATCGCAAGTTTGCATCCTGCCGGACCCAGATATATTTATTTCGGTGCATACCGGCGACACAAGGAAAATATCCAGACTGCTAAACTTGCTCTTGTCCCGCAGCATGTTACGGAAGCACTGTCGATATTAAGGGGATGCTGTATCTACCTTGCATGTGTAATCCAAGCCAACAGCTGTAATATTCTAGATAGGGATAAATGGTATTGATATCGCTAGGACGGAGGTGGCAGAGTTTTGGCACACTAATTTCTTTTGTTTCGAAAAAGGATTGCGTGGCATACTAATGTCTTGGTACTTGCTTCTACACAGGGTTTTCTGCTGCATGCAGTGTACGAGGGCGGGACTTTTCCACGTTACAGGGGACGTCTGGAGGATCTGAAGGCATTGTGGAGGACTGGAGAAAGACAAGAAGAAGAAGAGGAGAAGTGGAAGAAGACCAAAAACCAGATCCAACGGGTCTGGCCCTCCGCACGTCCCCCCCTAGTGCAGGATAAATGATGACGATGATGCTTGCAAGAAACTCTCTCGCCCGGGTGAAAGTCCCAACGTGCGAAGATTCGCTTTCTTTTTTTTCACATCCGGGCAGAGTCGCCTTCTTTTTTTTCAACACTTGATTTACGAAACAAGGATAGTGTCAGCTTTTCACAGCTTCCACAAAGTGATCCTACTACCGCCTCGCTACTGAAATCAACAAACTACAACGGCAAGATAAAATGCGCTATGCTGTAGACTGAAGGAGACAACTTTTCAAAAGGAAAATAAAGCAATCGCCTGACCGGTGGCTGCGTGAGCTTGTGAATACATGGGAAGAGGAAGGTGGCATTGGAGTGAAGTCCGTGGGCCCTCTTAGTGGTCTTTGTTCTCCACTGTGAAACAGGAAAAATGAACGTACTAACGGGCGATGCGTACAGTTCAAGTCCGAAGTACTTAATATTTCAATTTCTCGCAGAGTTGTTACATTTTCCGCCACCTGATCTTCTGCCTCACACGAGCGGCTTGACAAGAAAAAAAGATCTCTGTTTCCCAATCCACATGGGCTGTAAACCTGGAGAAGATGAGGAGAAAAAGATCTACGTAGTTGTTGACTCTCCACAGGAGAAAAGGATCTAGTCTGAGGATGCTTCCCCCCCCACAGAAACGGTTTACGATGATGATGTGCGAAAGGATCTATTCGACAATAGAAGCGGGCGTGAGGAAGATATTAAGTACTTGCTTGTACTACCGGATATTTGTGTTGCGCGGCGCAAGGAGCAACGAGTATAGTGTATGCCTTCAGTTGTATATGCTCTTGCCTCCTGCAGTCGCAGGTAGAACCCTGTGTTTCATCTTGACGATTGAGTTTCCAACACTGGTTGTGCACCACGACGCGGGGCATGATGTTGCTTGTTAAAACTACGACTGAATTCAGGGATTGAAGTCAAAGCTCGCATATCTTTTGTGATTGTCTCACATCCTCTTCTGCGATTGTCTCATATCTTCTTCTTGAGTACATTATCTTCGGTTCTGCGGTGTAATCTCTATATTGTCTTACAAAATACGCACCCTTCTCGTGTATTTCTACTTGTTGATACTACTTGTTTGCTCTCTTCGTGTATGATTTCTACTTGTTGATACTACTACCATTGTAAAACTCCCTGATCTTCATCTTCTGTGTACAATAAGTATAAAATGGATAGCTTCCAAAGGGTATGTAACTGAAACCTGCTCCTGCCTCAGCAAGGGAAAGTGTTTGATGTCTTGCTAAATTTCCTACATGGAAAGAACTCCGTGTGCAGCATTTTTATCATTCCAAGTCACACGTTTGTACTTTAAAATGCGGATGAAACCCGCCGATAGAGAAGGAGTGATATTCCATACGGAGGTTTCGCAATACAAAAAAACACTTTGCTATTTTTCTGGAAGGCGAGCACCTTCTTTCAGTTCGACAACAGACTGCATTGCCATATTCTTTGTAAAGACGCCCCCAACCGACCCTGCTAGACAAATCCGGACGTTTTGCAACTGGTGCATGACAAGGTTAGCCGCATCACAAATCCATCAATATATCTTGTTCTAATTAGTGCATGACAAATTGTAGTTGATGTTCCCAGCTTGGATATAGAAAATTAATTCTCTTGCGCACGTTGAGGCTAAGAACCATTTTCGATATGCCGATTTGCATCACAAATCTGGAGTGGGGGACGTGTTCTTTCCAAGGGATATGTTACCGGCTCGTGCGCAAGCTATTATCAACGACCTATCAAGATGAAAACGAATTCCCCCTCCCCATGTCAAACAAAAAAAAGAGTTTGTGATGCTGGATTTGCGTACACAGATAGGGTCTGTCTTGCTGTAAGGACCTGCAGCCAGATCGTTATCCTGCTCACGGGCGTCAGGACCTAGTTGTTTAGCATGACAAACGCTTCCCCTGTGACGAGCCCAACAGCATGACGAACAGCCTCCATGATTCGGGGCGCACCTCTGCACTTGCCTTCTTGCAAGACAGAACGGATTTCTTGCCGCAAATCTGCATCACAAATTTTGCTTTTGGGTACCATGGGATTGGGGAATTTCTTCTCACGATACGACCACGGCAACAACCTGGAGCTCACGCCCTCCCCCGAAAAAGAAGAAGATCAGAACCTGGAGGACGAGGATCAGAACCTGGAGGACGAGGGGAGTGTCCTGCAGCACCAGGACGACAACGTAAGTGCCCCGGCGCCGGGCGAGGTGGGTGGCGTTGCGTACAACGGCCATACGCATTACAAACGTGTAGTGCTCTGGGTCTACTGGATGCTTTTCATGCTGGCACTGGCTCAATGACACTAAAGATAAAGCGGTAGCAAACTGCACTGCCGTGCAACGCATGACAAATTGAAGCTTGCAACTAGAAGCCGGCAATCGTACGTCACTAGTGCTGTCGTGAGAAGACACTTTTTGAAACACAGTAATATATTATGCCGAGGATCAACCGTTGTGTCATGCATGACAAATGCGTGCTTCATTCGGAAAAATGCGCATCACAGGTTCATCCCACTTCTCTATCCGACTCAGAGGCCAACATGTTTGCAATGCATAAGCCCGGGACGGGATGAAGATCTGGATTTTGTCGAGGAGGAGGACGTATCCTGTGCAAAAGTATCGTACTCGTATAAATGCATGACAATTTTTTTTCTGATTCTGAAGCTAAATCCGCATTACAAATTTCATTTCAACTCATGCTGAGAAAATTTGTAATGCCTCTATACGAGTACGATACTTTTGCAGTTCATAGGACGTCGGGGAGGAGGCGGAGGACGTCGGCGAGTCGGTGCAGGATGAGGAGCCGGGCATCCAGCTATCAAACGCAAAAATGGCTGGGTCTGGAAATTTGTGATGCGGAATGGGAGTACTTATTTTTTGAACAACCTCTGTAGAGCATTCAAGCATGACGAATTCGTAGCACGTAGCTTTCTCGTGGTGTTTCACACACACTACAAACTGTATTCTTGCATGACAAAACAGGCGACACTACTTTTCATCTTCTTGTTGTTTATCCTACATGCAATAAAGATTTGGCACGCGAAATGCAAGACAACCAAAACATGTGGTTCCACTCGTTTACGTTTTTATTCCAGAGACACAGACATAGTTGCAGTTGATACGGAATCGCAGCGGACTACTCGCTGGCAAACGATACTGCGCTGGAAGAGTTCTGGACAACCGACCTGAAACAAGATCACCCGTACGAGACCCGCGAGGCCTTGCTGTCAAATTTGGTTGCGGATGAACCGGATCTCCAGCACGTCCGAATTTTCGGCCTGGACGACACGGGGACGCCACAACCGCTGCAAGAAACCCAGCCGCCGGTCCAGGGACAGCCGGTGCAGCAGTCGGCCACCGAGAGCGCAACGGATGAAGACTTTATTTTGGAGGTCGACATTAGCAGCAAGTTGCGCCAGAGCCTCTACTGGCCGAAACAACCAGAGCGGGCCCTGAGGGACAAGGAGCGCGAGGACAAGGAGGAAGAAGCCTACGAAAACGGCAAATGTTTCGTCAAATTACCCGATTGCATGGTCGACAAAAAAGGCCCAACGGGAAAGGTGGAAGATTGGATGCTCACCAAGGAGTTTCACGTCGCGGACAGTGACCACAGCTATCCTCTGGAATAATAACGTCTCCACCCCAGAGGCGAGATGGGAATCCCCCTGCACAAATCCACTCGCTTGTGCTCTGGTGAAGCATACAAGTGTAGTCGTGGTTGGCTGTTGAAGTCACATCACAAATATCGTAAAAGTTCCTTAAAGTCTGATTAGAGCATGAGAAGTCCTGCCAGATCCAGCAGGCAGCATGAGAAATGAATGCTCTTCATGGGACTCGTCCTGCGCATGAGACACGACAGCCTGGGCATGCACGTCGGGGATGAAATATGCATGACAACACTGCTGGGGTACAAACGTTCTTTTCGCTCAGGATATTGACAAGAAGGAAGTGAGCATAGTCTTCGTCGGCGAGCCGGAAAAATATTACCAAATTCCCTGGCAGGACTTTTCTTTGGTATAATTTCGAATCTTTTTCATCTTGCTCGATCGGTCAATACTACCTCCTGGCCTTCCCTTCAACCTTTGACCTTGTTCATTGATTTTAGTTTGCGTCTTAGTTATATGGGAAATAGTGTTCTGTTCCAAACTGGTACCGAGCGGCATCTTCATGAATACTCAAACACACAGGTATGGCGAGAAAAAAATCCTCTCTCTCCATGATAGTTGTAGTACTCAGAGTGGAATAGGTTACCAACGAAGCGACTTTGTGGGCGCAAAACCTAACTTGTTCACACAGTTTCGTCTTGCATACAACACCAGTATTTTATCGGCAATTTGTGTTGCGTGTGAGCCACAGCAGAGGTGGGGACCGCCCGGCCACCACGTCCTCCTCTGTCATGCCCGATGCCTGGACTGGTGCTGTTTTAGTACACCTCCTGAACAGAGCAGATAGTAGGAGCCTGTGATGTTGTAGCTGTCCTGGCGCAACACAAATCTGCACTTTGACTTATGACACTACAAGAACATGCCAACAAGAACAAATCTGCATTGTCACAAGATTTCCACTTCAGCACCGGGACGAGCGGGGATTTTTTGTTTTGATACGAAATCGCGCAGAAGCACCGGGCATCCAACTGGCTGAAACTACAAAGGCAGGCTGATATGACAGTACACAACTCCCCCTCCCCCTCATTTGTATAGCATGAACGGCAATACAAACATCAGCAAGAGTGCCGGTTTTGCATGACAGATTTGCGCTGGATAATAGTGCTGTTTGGGCTTCCAGGACTTGTCATGCAAACAGTGCTGCAAGGCGAAGGCAGCAGCTGGATTTGGGATTTTGCAATTACAAATGAGGAGGAGGGGGAGTTGTGCACTGTCATATTTGAGGAGGGTGATGCTGAAGAAAAGAAAGATCAAGAGGAAGCAGATGTTGATATGAAATTCTCAAGCGTTGCATTGAATGATATCGGCTAACGCATGATGAGTTTGCTATTCCAAAATTGCAAAATTGAAGGAGGGGGATTGCGCGCCATGCGCGAAAAATCTGGAACGTCGGATGTCCATGCCGTTTTGCGCTTTGAGAACTGCCTGCCATTCAAGGTAGCTTGAACCTTTGGAGGCTGGTAGATTTTCCATGACAAATGACGTGTACAGCAATCAGTGTAACGCTTGAGAACCCCCATACAAGAAGAGGAGGAGGTGGAGGAGGAGGGAGACGCACAGGAAGCGGAGGAGGAAGAGGCGAGCCTTCTCTACCGCTAGTGCGGCCGATGTGTTTTTTATCTTTGATAGCTTGGTGGAAGTGACTTTTGATTCGCGAGAAAAGAGCATCTACTTTTTCGACCGCAAATAAAACCAACGCCCTCTACTACTTCGTTTGTCGCACTCTTCTAGGAGTTTTTCTAGATACTCTTTCGAGAGACGAAATGTGTAGAGTTTTAGCGCCAAAAGAGACGCAACCTTGAGCACGGCCGGCGTTGCAGAAAACACTCACAGCTCGCAATGGTGAGCAGAGACATGTACTTTGCCTTTTCGACAAACGCAACGAAAGAAACCTTCCTGATTTTCAGATTTGTGTGTACAGAAAGAGAATAACCTCAAGCGACACGCGTCTCCGCTGCGACGATACAGAAAATCTGGTGTCTATTTTATTTTTTGGCTGAGTAGACGTGTTTGCCAGTTTTCGGCGCTCGTGCCCTCATCGAAACTGCTGCTACTCCAGTTTCTGTGAGGACTCATTTGTCTTTCACTTTCGCCGATTCTAGGTGCTGAAGGGTGGATAATTCTCTGTGAAACAAATCTGGATCCGCTGCTCAGTAAAAATGACCTGTATAATAATTTTATCGCAACGACCTATGATCCAAGCGTGGCTTGTTTCGGTGGTCTTCCATGCTTTTCTACTACTCGGTTATTCATGCGCTGGACGAAAAGCATCGGTTCTACTCAGCCAGTGATTAAATATTTGAGGCTCGCCTACCTCCTCAGGGAACCCGTTTCGTGTCGTTGTTGGAAACACTGTTGCAGCTGTGAGCCCTCCAACCAAGCGTCGGCGCAGCGACTGTCGTCGTCGTGTCTTTCGCATTCGCTCCTTGGACCGATTTATTGTCATTGTCAAAAACAATCATTAAATAATATTTTCTGTTATGCGAACAAAGCGTACTAAAATGCAAGTAGTAAGGTGGTACTGAAGTTCGGAAAACACGCTGCCAGCCCCTGGTGGTAGGCCTTGATGAAGAGCGGGAGCTCTACTCTAAGCCGCTGTGTTTACTGACGTATAGGCTCTCCGTAAGTAGAATTCCCACCGACGAGCTGAACTTCTATACTGCAAATTTTTTCTTTTTCACTTCATGATCTTTATCATGGTGTGTTATCTATTATCCCGAATATTTCGTTCACCTTTTTGACGACAATGAGAAAATCATGATCATCGTAGCGTCGTGGGTTGTTGTGAGACGCCGATTGGAAGTGCTGAAGAAAGCTGATGCCGATCGCGAACTCCCTCCGAGCTGGGTTGACGAAGGAGATGTTATTGGGGTCGTGCCCACTGAGGCTTCTGGCGTTGCGAGGTGATGAAGTCAATGCGCTGGTGCGTGCAACAAGCAAGAATGATCGTTCACCAAGGTAAATTGTACTACCGTCAACGAATATGGAAGCGTCAGGAGCTGCAATATCGACAAGGTTCAAAATAAAATTTGCGAAGCATAAAATGCAGCTTGCAGATTGCCTGTCTTGCAGAGCAGGCAAAGGAGAGCGACTGAGACAGAGCTGCCAAAATAGCATGACAAAAGACGCCTTCTTTGCATAAACAGCATGACAAATTCTTGAATTAAGGCACGTCAGGGGAATTTGTCATGCGCCGTTCAGAGATTTTTGAGTTTGCAATTCATTGGTATGGATTTTATGCATTACAACTTTGATATCGATTGCGATGCTGGCGTTTCCATAATGAAGCGACTCTTGTTATACAAGATCCGGAGCAACACATCGAAAAAAGAAGAGACTCCAGTTTGGAAAACATAGGCTGCTGTGACTTAGTAGCTACTACGACGTGACGCAGCTTCAGCACACTTCAGCACATTGCAACTGAAAGTTGTGCGCTCGAACGACGAGGACAAGAATAAAATAGGCTACCGTACTATTGCGCCGATTCGAGAATAAGTGTTTGCCTTGTGCTTCGTGCGCTTGGAAAAGAAAGTCATCCTGTTCCGACCGTTTTTGGCAAGGGCTAAAGACCGGTCTATCAACCCACACAAAAGGTTTTTTCTTCTGGACTAAGGCTAGAGTGTTTCTTGTGTCACAGAACAGCGGTTCTTTCTGCCAATAATTTCCACCCGATATTACATCACACTTCTGCTGTGGTTTCGCCGATTTTTCTTTCGGCAAAGATCTCCAAGCTATTGTGGTGAGAGCAGAAAGCATCTGACGCTTAAGATCTCATTACGGAGCACTCGCAAGTGGGCGATCTCGGCTGCTACACGAAAGATAGAAAAAAACAGAGATCTGTATGGACAGGATGGAAAGGTACTATCGGCTGTGTGGAAGGCCGGATGGTCAGATGGAGGTTTCGCCGGACCGCGTGCGACAAAATCAGGGGTCATCACTTGTGATGGCCAAGAAGGACGTCCTGTCCATCACTTTTGGCCGACCAGAAAGTGATGGCCAAGGGGCTTCTTGTGGCCATCACTTTTGGCCGACCAGAAAGCGATGGCCAAATGTGATGGCCAAGGGGCTCTTGGCCATCACTTTTGGCCGACCAGAAAGTGATGGCCAAACGTGATGGCCAGGGGACTACTTTTGGCCATCGCTTTTGGCCGACCAAAAAGTGATGGCAAAGGACGACCACCTTGCCCGGCCTGGGGCGGGCGACCACCTCCGACCACCTTGCCCGGCCTGAGGCGCGATGGATGGCCAATAGCTTCTGGTCGTCACTTTTTGCCGTGACTTTTTCGCGCGGGCAAAGTGATGGCCAGAGGTGATGGCGAGGGGTGCTGGCTACTACCAGTGGCCATCATTTTGAATTGCACGGGCGAAAGCGTGAGGACCAAGAGCTAGTGGCCGCCGCTTCTATGGCCCAGCTCTAGGCACTGAGGTGGGCGCGTGGCTGGCGGCTCTAGGCTATTGGTGGTTTTTGGGCGCGCGAAAAAAGGAGGACTCCGCGCGCGAAAAAAAGAGGAGTACAGGATGGAAAGGTACTATCGGCTGTGTGGAAGGCCGGATGGTCAGATGGAGGTTTGGAATGGTGGCGGCACAGGCGATGTGCAAGTTTTATGAATATGCAGTATAAATGCTCTCGTTACCAACCACGGCGTTGTTACCCGTGGTAGAGAGGTACTTGTCAGCACCATCTGCGGCCACTGCGCGGAGGCATTCCCTAAGCCGTGCAAACAGGTGTCGTATTTTTATTTTCTGTTCGCGCATAGACTCTCGTCGTCATGGGACCGTAACTCCACGACGTTAAGACGATATTTCCGATTCTAATGATCAGTCCGTGCTGAAGAAAAAATGACTCTATATATGTTCTTGTGTGATAAGCGACATAAAAAACGACGACATTTTGTGATAATGACGACATTTTTATTTTGTGATAAGCGATATCAAGCGACATTTTTTTCGTATTTTTTTATAAACTGGATACCAACCTCCGATTGGCGGCCATGGACTTATTCGACGACGAGAAAGGCTGCGTGAGGCGGCTAAATCCAGGCAGCAAGCGAGAACTAGGCGACCCGCATAGCTTTTCCGTGATATTGGAGGACAGTGGCCACAACCTCGAGCTGCTGCGGGTTTTCGTCTCGGAGAGCTTAGCGGCGGGGCTCGGATTGGACGCGCTAAACTCGGAGGCCCCCACACTGCACGGGCTGGGGTTCGGGGTGGAGGCGAAGCCCACCCCCCGGACATTTTTCGAGGCACTGGACCGCGCCGCGGCCCGCGACGGGGTCGAGCCGCTGGCCGAGAAGCAGCTCCAATTCTACTGCCAGCGCTACACGGACCAACTGATCTACCATATCCACTGCAAAGATGTCGGGGTCTGGAAAGTTGTGACGCAGATCGCTGGGTCAGTGGTCTGTCAAGCATGACAAATTTCCGTCGCGCTTCGTCGCACGTGGTACGCATTACAAGTTGCATGTCCTCTGAATGACGAGGGAGGCGTCGTGAATTTTCCTAGTCTGTCATGCAATGCCGCTCTTGCGCGAATGGCAAGCAAGCATCAGAAGTACGGTTTTTCCAGACCCAGACACGTTTGCAATGGATACGTTCCGACGCTGGAGACGGTGAGGCGCCCCGATACGTAGTGTCCCGGCACGTTAAGGATATCTTGCGTAAAAACGATCCCACCTCATAGTTTTCATGCAGATTTGGATTCATCGAAATATCTGTAATGCGCATTCGCTGAATGATGAGAGCAATTTATAGTCGCGTTCTGGGATTTCGATTTGTCATGCAGCATAAGCAGGGAATATTTTGGTGATGCGGCTGCCCTTGCTACCCAGCACTACACTGCAGAGGGTGCTGGAAACTTCTCATGCACAGCTCCCAATACTTAGGGACTTGTACTGCGGACTTACCAACCTGATTATGGGGTGGGGGCGTTTTTGCTCAGAATAAGGGAGGAAACGGAGGAGGAGCGGGCCGAGGCAGCGGCTCGCCTGGCGGCGGCTCGCACGACGAGGTACTGATGAATTTTTTCTCAACATTTTCGCCGTATTATCGACTGTACGAGAAATTCAAATTGTCCACTGGTGGTGGATGAGGAAGAAGTTGATGATGTTGTTGCACGTAAGTACTTTAACTTTAGTAGGCCGCAGGCCCAGCCCCCTCCTAGGCGCTGCGTGCCTCTTTGTGCTTTTTTTTCCCTCATAAATGGGCGATACGCATGACAAGCAGCAACAAAGACCCCTAAACAGGTGTGCGGACGACGCAATCCAGGTGGACGCAATGCGGGTGGTATATGAACTGCAAAAGTATCGTACTCGTATAAGTGCATTACGAATTTCCTCAGCATGAGAAATAGAATTATAATGCAGATTTGCCTTGAGAACAAGATGCATCAAGACTTGCATTTATACGAGTACGATACTTTTGCACAGGATATGGCACCAGCGCCAGCAACTCCATCTTCTACCAACCGCAATCTCGCACAGCTGCAGCAGGTGGAGCAGACTTCCGCGGGGTCTACGGGTGTGATCCAGGTGACCGCAATGCAGGCACCAGCGACAGCAACTCCGTCTTCTTCTACCAACCACAATCTCGCACAGCTGCAGCAGGTGGAGCAGACCTCCGCGGGGTCTGCGGGTGTGATGCACCAGGTGAACGCAATGCAGGCACCAGCGACAGCAGCTCCGTCTTCTTCTACCAGCCGCAATCTCGTACAGCTGCAGCAGGTGGAGCAGACCTCAGCGTATGCATTGCAAATGTGGCTGAGTGCGGAACGCTGCAACCTGCCATGCTAAATCTGGATGGTGCTAGAGTCTGTGTTGCAGGAATGGCAAATGCTACCCAGATTCTGCCACGCATCAACGGGCGATCTTCTCATGCGGAACAGGCATAAACAAGCTCTTGCGCAATCAGTGGTGCTTCTGGCTGCGTTCCAGATCAACATCTGCGTCTCCCTTATATGCATGACAAACCTTGTACTTTTGTTCCAGACCCAGACACATTTGCACTGGATACCGTGACGGCGACTGCGATTCTCGGGCAGAATAAAGAACAGGTAGAAGACGCAACTGCCGGAATCGCACCGGTAGAAAGTATATTCCGTGCAAACTACACCACGTCCCCATCCCATAGTCAAAATAGGAGAGTTTGCACGGCAAATAAATCCACCAGCTTTGGTTCTTTTGGAACTGACGCCTGACAAACTCGAGCATGAAGCATAGTCAGTGTGAGCTAGCTTAGCGTCATCTTCATAAATCGATCATCTAACCCTGATTAGAGCATGACAGATTTTTCGTCCGAGACTGCATGGAAAAATGCTACTCGTGGGGTTGTGCATGAGCAACATTGTTATTGTATGCAAATGCAGATGATTTCTCGCATGACAACTTTGGGGTGGGGACATTTTTGCACAGGATAGGGCACCAGAACGATGGAGGAGGTGAGTGCTACCACGGGCCGACCCCTCGTCGCTGCAGAAAAATATACGCATTGCAAATATTGTCGCGCACGTCCAAAGCGCATCACTGGCACTGGCAAGGTGCGATGGTTCTGTTGCGCGAACAAGTAGTTGTAGTTCGGCCTACCACTACATCTTGTTTGTACCGCAGAACAAAAACAGAAGTGGCCTTGTCAGCAAAAGTTGTCGTCTTTGCGCGTGTGCGACGAGAGTTTTGCAATTGATAGAGCCGCCCGCGGACGACGGCGGCAGCGAGTATCCGCGTCAGCAAAAACTCCCGTCCCTGCAGTCGACCACGGCCAACGTCGAAACGCATAGCAAGGAGTCGGGCGGAGAAGGAGCGCCCCGCAGCCGCGAGGCTGAGCAGCGACTTCGCGACACTTTCGCGCGGATGCGCGGCGAGCAGATTCCGCCGCCTCCGGAGAGGAGGGTCGTCATCCGCTGCGAACAGCCGGGCTTCTCCCTCGTGTCCAGGTCCTCGACCGACGTCGCCCTCGTCCCGAAAGGCCGAGGGCAGGCGGCGGCCTTTGCGCGCATGGGCATCCACCAGGATGCCCTGGAAGCCGTGACCCGTGCCGGCCACCACGTGACCTACGTGGTGGTCGGGCGCGATTCCGAGGCCGTCGCGAAAAAGCTGGGCCAGGCGGTTACTGGCGAAGTCCGGCGCGGTCTCCACGCTAAAGACCCGGACCACGCGCAGGGATTCGGCTACGACTACGGCCCTAGGGATCTGCCAGGACTGAAGTCGTCAGCGTTGAAATGGTTTGCCATGCATAAAATGCCAGGCCTGGCGTGCCTGTCTTGCCGGGATGGCAAGTGAGGCAGATTGTGGGCCTATTTTTTTAGGGCTTGGGATAGAGGACAGGCTGCCGAGCCTATTTAAGAGCACGACGCAAGCAGTTTTCTGCGCCCAAACAGCATGACTAATTGAATTCCGTTGCTCCGAAGATTTGTCACGCTCCGCTCAGACATTGGTCTTCCTCGTGGTTGTATCCGTTTTGCGTGTGGCAAATCATTTCAACTTTGTCGACTTGAGGTTTGGCGCTTCCATAGACCCACGCGAGGGCGACGCTATTCGCGTCACGGGGTCGCGATTCGGCGGCGGCTTCACAATCAAGCACAGCAGAGAATATGATAGTGAATAGCTACCAACTCAGAGTTTCTAGGGAAACAGCAAGCCGGCACGTTTTTGCGCAGCTGTCGCGCCGCTGAAGCCATCGGGATGAACATCGCGACAGCCTTGGAAGCTCCCACTCCACGTCGCACACGCGTGCGGCACTGAGTGGTAGTATGCGATGGCCCATGCATGAAATTCATGCGCTTCTAGTTCCAATAAGAAATTACTCTGACGGGGGCACCTCTTCTTTTCATAAACCACTTTTATTTTCAGACGTGGCTATCACGATGAGAAATCTCCCCCCCCCGCGAAGGTTGGTTCTTAAGGAAAAAAGTTGCGTGCTCTGCCTTCATGCAAATAAGTACCAAGCAAATTTCCACCTGTCGCGTCATGCGGATGTACAAATCCTCGCAAACATCGGTTACATTGTAAGCGGAGGGGCTAGAATTTTCCCTGATGATAAGAAAACCGGGGCCATTATCCTCTGCAAAAACGTCCCCACCTCCCCAGAGTTCTTAGGATGCAAATTTGCAAACCGGAACTGGATTTTACAATGCTGTCTGGGAGTTTGTGATGCTGAAATCAGGATTAGCTATTCGATTTGTGATGCAGCCGCTCTAGCTAGTAAACACGACTAAAAACCTACGAGCCCAAATTTGTAATGCGCAACATTCAACTCTTGTTAAATTTGTGTAGCAAAGCCCCCATCTTGACTCGGGGTTGGGAACGTTTATTTTCCTCAGGATAACCCAGCTGCTACCTGTTCCTCGACGGCGATGACCTATCCGGAAGAAAAATCTGGCTTCAGTTGTCAGGGAGACATGTTGATGAAGAACAATAATTTGTATTGCTGCATGAGGACCACAGTCAGAATGCTATTTTCACTCGAAGATGTTGTGGAGAGGATTTTTCTTCCGGATACGAAATCAACTTTACCAGCGCGGCGATGCTTGCATTTCTCGGTGCTCGACCTAACAACGCAAGCGGTGGTAATGATGGCACTGCACCACCACCATCACGACTACCACCACCAGCACCACGCGGTCCATCTGCTAATAATAGCGCAGCGGCACCACGACCGCATCCACCGCCAGCACCAGTGCGCGGGCTGCCGAGCCGAGGAGCTCCGATGGATGGTGCAGCACAAGTAGCGAAAGTAGCAGTCCCGCAGAAGAAGAAAGAGAAACCGGAAACGCTCCTTGATGGCGCAGCACAAGTAGCGAAAGTAGCAGTCCCGCAGAAGAAGAAAAAAGAAACGCTCCTTCCTTCCCTCTCAGAAGAAGATGAAAGCGGAGACAGACGCATCCCCGCTCCGGAAGCGCAGAGGCCACGGCGCTCCAAAACCACGCCAGTCCGAGGCCCCGCCGCTCCGCTTCCGAAGAGTGTCGCTCGGCCTTCCTCGAAGAAAGCTGCGGCGGCTCGCGAGGTGAATGATATCAAGTGAAAAACTACTCTGCACCAGTGACATAGAGTCCATCTTCTAGCTCATTGCGCCGGCTTGGAATAGATGCAAACTCCTTGTTATTGTGTGATGCGAAAAAAGAGCTGCACGCAGCGACAAATGCGGTACAGCCAGCGATTATTATCTCCAATTCCCTGCAAGTGTGCCACCACTTGCACATTGCCACCACTTTGCCAGATGGAACTCGCGGTAGGTACAGGTACTAGTTGTCGGTGATCACCCGGTATAAACTTCTATACAGCAGCACAGCCTCAACTGTTGAAAACTTCAGCTTTATTTTTGAAATAGACAGATAAATGAAACTCCACTATGGCGTGACTGCGTGTATTTTTTCACTTGATATCCGAACTCGAATTCGAAACCAAGTCGGGAAAGAAATTGTCGGGCCAGGACATGCTCCGTACATACACCTATCCAGGGCAAAATAGACGTCGCAGCCGTGTAGGAGCACATCTGGAAGAAGCTGCCCTTCTTGCCATGCAGAGACCAAAGCTCGCCCCTGCTCGAGGAACAGATGTAGGACGTCTTCATCGACCCGTCTCCTTGCATGTAGCTAAACTGCGAGGTGGAAAATACAAATAAAGTTGTCATGCTAATTATCTCGCCGTTGGTCAACATGAACAAGATGCTGTGCAACAACCTGACCCCGCCCTTTCCGCCCGCGGAAAGGGGGGGGGGGCCCCCACCCACCTTCCGGCCAGGAGACCCGAAAGCCAAGCGGCCGGGGCCGGCACGCTCGCATTCCAGTCAGACGGCCGGGGGGCGGGGGGGGCGCGCGCAAACGAAGGGCATAGCACCGCGCACGCGGCCTATGTATCGGTGCGAGTACATTTTTTTTGGCGGCGCGCGCTTCGCGCGCGCAAGTTTCATGCGTGAATTGCAAGGCAGCGCCAAGGCCGGACAGCGCGCATGCACATGCGCCCGCCGCGACCAGATACGGCCAAAAAGCCTAAGAACCTAGACGCCGCAAGCGCGCGCAAGACTGCAAGCGACCGGGCCCGCCCCGCTGCCGCGGCGGCCGGCAACTGCATGCCAAGAACGAGAGCCACGCCCACGCCGCGCTTGCCCGGGCCCGGCGCGCATTCTTCGCCCTTTTTCCCGCCCTTAAGATGGGCCGGCCCCTGAACACAGGCCCCCACCCCCCGCAGCTTATGAAGCATGCTGGAATCAAAACACGACCCCCCAGAATACCTCTTGCGCGCGCAGCCTTCGACGTGCCCACCCAAAACCAGTAAGGAGTCCACCGGGGGCAACGTTGTGGGGGGGGGTGCTATTTTTTCGCGCCCGAGCGGGGACTGGGGCAGGGCCCCTGCCGGCTCGGCGCCGGCCGCATCTGGGTGCGAGCGTTGCAAGCCGGCAGCGCGGCGCCGGTCCACGACCTTTTTTGTGCCGCGCCGCCACGCCGACCCAAGCAAGGGTGGAGAAGGGCGGCGCCGAAAAAAAAAAGCGCGCCCGCCCCCGAAAGAACAGCCCTGGCCAATGAGGCCTGCAAACTGCCCAAAGACAAAGGCGCGGGCCGCCTGGCCACATGCCTGCCTGGCGCACGCAGGCTTCCGCCCGCGGCGCGTTCTTTCCCTTCCCCCGCCCGTGTGCGCGCCCCATTCCCGCACCGAACGCCCGGCAGCGCTCCATTGGCCAAGCTCGCAGCCTCCGCTCCCGCAGTCAAATCAATGAATCCTGTGCATGGTTTGGCTCCACCGCGCGGCGAAGGCGTCGGGGCATGGCGGCGTGCCCTCCTCCCTCGCCGGCCCCACATGACTAGGCGGCGCGCGCTTTCGCTATCGCCGGCGACAAAAGCTATTAGGTAGCGGGTGGGGCCCGTTTCTTCTGTCAAACGCTGGCTGCATGCGGGCAGGTGGCGCCGCGCGGGCGGGCGCTGCCCCCGCCATGTAGTGGCTGAGGCAGGTCAGGGAGCGGGGTTGTGCGTCCGTGTGCCCCCGTGGCCGGCATTATCTAGGGGCGCTCAGCCAGCCAGCCCCAGGCAAATTCGGGCCAATAAAATCAGCGTAAAAAGGCATTAATAAAAAAGCTGCGCCGGGTTTTGTCCCATTGGTTTTGTGTATTGATTGGCCAGGGGCTTGGTTTTTGGAATTCCGGAAGGGCGCCGCGCGGCGCCCCCGGGGGGGAAATTAATGGAAACCGGCGGCCCTGCTTTTTTGTTCCCTAGGCCAGCGCTTGCCGCGTTTGAGTTTTGTGTCCGTGGTGAGGGTGCAGTCCTGCCATGTGCCATTCCGAAGCCCCCCGGCTTACCGCCGGGGATGGGTTTCGTCGGGTTGCGTCTCGGGTGGCGCTTTCGTGGTCGTGCTTCTCGGCCCAGAGGCTGGGTTTTGCCTTTGCTTTCCCCAACGGGCCTGAGGGGGTAGGGTGTCGCCCGCCGGTACCGGGGAGCCGAGCCCGGCCAAGCCTGGCGGTCTTGGGCTGGTAGCGGGGCTCTCTTTGGCCAGCAGGGGTCGAGGTCTGTTGCAGAGGGAGCGACAGGCCTTGCGAATCTTTTCACAAGATCCCGCGGCCTGACCTCTGCAACAATTTTTGCAATAATCTGTGCAATAATATTTGCAATAAAATTCGCATTAATTTGAAAACAAGGCGAATCGTGTGGGATTTCGCACCCCCAACAAATTAATTCAAATTTTAATGCAAAACTAAACCAGAAATTAAACAAAATTTAAACCACAAATTAATTAACATAATCACGCCGGAGACCCAAACTCGGAACGCGCGAAAACTCGCAGTGTTTTGGGCGCGGGCTAAACTAACAACAACCGGGGTGGCCCGGGGCTTTTGTTTTTGGGCTTTGTTTTTGTGGCGTATGTCTTTGTGGCGCAGCCCTTGTGGCCCCTGTGTTGTCTTGCCTTGCTTCTTTGTGGAGCTTCCCTTGGGCCCCCAGTTTGTTTTATTTTGGCGCCGCCCCAGTGTTTTGCCTATTTTTGACAGGGCCCCTGGGGGTCTTGGTTTGCCCTATTTCGTTGCCGGGTCCTGTTTCCGTTTCATGATCGGGCGCAGAAGCCTTGGGCGCGATGGGCCCGCAGGCAGTCGGCCCCGGTTGTCCTCGCGCGGCCGCAGCCACCGCCTGCGTTCGCCCCCGGTCTGTTTGGGCCATGTGTCGCGTCTTCCCCCTGGCCATTCGCGCCGGCATTTTGGCGCATTTCTTTGGCCCGCCTCCCGCTTTTACATTAATGCCTTTTCAAACCAATTTGAAACCGGGTAGCTTGCCCGGGGTCGGCAGCCTGAGGGCGCCCGCGGGTGGCTTGGTGTGATTTGGTTTGCGTGGCGCCTCATGCGGAGCATGCATGCAAAGTTAAAGTAACAGAGTGGGGCTCCGGCGCCACGAGCTAGCTGGCCTTCGCAGGCAGGGGGCTTTCCTCTGCAGCCCGTGACTTTGCCTGGCGCCTGCGCCTGCCCAGGAGGAAGGGATGGAAAGCAACGGGGCCGGCCTGTTTGCAGCGCCTTCCCCCCTTCACACACGCAACCACGCACAAGCGTGCCCGCCACGCCGTTAGGCGATGTCTGTGCTGCGCGCATTGGTTGGCCACAGGCAGGGCGAGCCCCAAAGAAAGCCGTGGTCGCGCAGCGTGTAGTCGCGGGAAAACGCGCCGACGCCCGGCCACGGGCCGCTTGTCGATAAATGGAAAAAATGGCAAGAGCCGGACGCCCGCCGCGCATGCAAACAATTCAAGAGGTGTCTTCTTATGGCGGGATCGGTAATACCGTGCGCGCGCGCAGCGCGCGCGCGCGATTTTTTTTTATGCCGATGACGATTGCGGAAAGGGGGGGAGGGAGGGGGTGCCACCCGCCTGGAGGGGCGTCTACCCCCCTTTCCGCGGGCGGAAAGGGGTCAGGTTGTTGCACAACATCCAAAAATATCCATGTATTCTTGGTTTATTAGGTCCGCAGTATCAATTGCAAAAGTTTCGCATTCGTAGTGATTGCGGATATGCATGACAAATCGCTGTCCTGCGCTACAACAGCATCACAAATTTCCTCTGGGTCTGGCATGATAAGCTAAATTATTTGTGCATGCAATTACTACTGGTACGATAGTACTTCTGTAATGCATACGCAGCTGCGGCCGTCTGTTGCTACTGGATAGAAACCGAAAGGAAGACAACCGCAAGAGTAAGGACATCATCCTCCTCAGTATCCTGTGGAATAAAGCACTTCCCACGCCATCTTGTCACGAAAACCTGCATGTGCAAAAGTAAAGTTACCATCTGCATCAAACCCCACCGGAAGTGTGTAGTTTTGAAAGGGTTTACATGAAAATCGGGGTTCTTCATAATCGAATGTGACGAACAACGTGAAGGTGGCTTACTGTAGATACAATATGTGAGATAGCCCTGGCAACCGATTGGTGGAGCTTCCAAACTTGTAATGCACAATTCCGCAAATTTGCATTCATTTGTATTGCAGAATCTCACTCTACTCGAGGTTTTGGACTCCTGCAAGATGGGGTGGAGCCGTCTTGTTTCCACAGGATACCTCAGCTTCCGCAGGGCAACCACAAGGATAAAACCACGAAAAAACAGCGGATATCCAACAGAAACAGAAGTGTCATCTCGGTGTGAATCTGTAATGCAGAACACGCAACAACTACAGGAGACGGAGAACGATACGTTTGTCGTGCTTAAGTACTTATACCTATCGAAGCAGCCTCTTTCGTTCCCAAATACGATGTCGCGCACTAGCCTAGTGCGCGAAATCAGATATGGAAAGACGAGGAACAGCCGAAGATAGGCTCTTGTAAATAAACTAAGTATTGTAATGCTGTTCGCCGTTCGCGTTCTACTTGTAAACCGGGAAAATTACTCATGCGCATGCCAAAACACAACTTCTTCCTCTTTTGGATAAGAGGAGGCCGCGGCGCGGAACGGCAGGGCCTGGCGGGAACTGGTCGACAAGGCGCGGGTTGCGGGTGGAGAGGTCCTGTTGCGATTAAAGCGGCTGTTCGCGTCGGGCGGCGACAAATCCATATCCCTCGCGCAGTTGCGATCGAACCGGGCGGCGACATACCAGGCCCCGCGAAAAAACAGCAAGAACAAGATCGAGCACGCCAACTGCGTCTTCAGGCGGAGGGTTATGGGAATGCCAGGATTGAAATCGACAAAGCTGAAGTGATTTGCCGTGCATAAAATGGACGAGCCAGGCGGAAGCCAACTTATCAAGCTGCGCATGACAGATTTTCCGAGCGCCGGAATCCAATTTGTCATGCTGTTTGGGCACAGAAGACTGCGTTTGTCATGCTACATTAGCAGCTCTATTTCAAACCCTAAACAGGCTCAGAATGATCGGCCCTACTTGCCATCCCGGCAAGACCTGCACTTGCACTTCATGCCTTGCATTTTATGCATGACAAATCGTTTCAACTTTGTCGATTTCAAACCTGGCGCTTCCATAAAGGTGTTGCAGACCCACCGGTTGTTCCCGCGGGCGGCGGGCGATACCACTCCGGCAGCGGAGGCCTACGACGCCGAGAAGGAGTCCGAAGACTCCCGCGCAGCTACTCCGTCGGTGGAAGCGGCGGCGCCAAACGCAAGGGGGGTCGAGCTCGCGGGCGCAGCGGTAGATGCAGAGCTATCAAGTGCGAACGTGCTGGGGAACTACAGAAGCAAGGCCCCGGCGCCGCGTTTCTAGCGTTCGATCAAATAGTTTGAGCACCACTAGAAAGAAACCAGTATTCCCGTATCTAAACTTCTCTCATGCAAACCATGGCGCAGCGTGTGTGTTGGTCATGCTTGCCAGGGTAGTAGGATAGTAATCTTTTTCGAAATATTTTCTAGGAAGCACACATGATGTGTGCGCGCGGTTGTGCTGCCCTCCGGATTTTTCCGGTCGCGTTTCCACCGCCTCCTCCGGATCCTCACGCACTGTCACAAATGCAAAAGTGTTGATGTCGCTTTCCAGAAGAAAAATGTGAAAAGTGCCTATTGCAAAACTGGGTAGTACCCAAGTCACGTCTTTCGCCACTTGATAACCGGAAGTAGACGATGTTGCCGCCGACAGCCAGGAGGAGGGCTACTACGAAGGGGACGTGGAGGACGGGGACATGATGGACGTGGAGGGAAACCTGGACGACGTGGAGGAGGGCTACTACGAAGAGGAAAACGTGCTCAGCGATGAAAACGACCTGGACGACGTGGAGGAGGGCCACGAAGAGGAAAACGCGTTCGGCGCTGAACTCGAGGAAGACGAGCGTATCTATTGCAAAACCGTCCTGATCCCTAGATTTGTCATGCAAGTTTGCATGCAGCCTCGGAAGTTTGTCATGCGCAGCTCGATGATGGCGAGCATTTTCTGATGTTCCTTCGGAATTTGTCATGCTGTCATCAGGATGAGATCTTGCTTCTTCACGAATTCTTTTCTTGGATTACACTATGAAGAGTCCAAGTCTGTCTTGTGCAACGGCCATAGCTTGTTGATTTGTGTAGCAGCTACGTTACTTACCATCTTGATGACAATAACAACGAAAAAGTAGTTACCATCTTGACAATTCGGTGCGGACGTTTTTACTGAGGATAGAGCAGGAGGAGGCGGAACTCGGTTACGAAGCTGAAGTCGAGGAGGAACAGGACGACGAAGTGGAGGCTCCTTTCCATGCAGCTCCGATAAAGAAAGAGTTCTCGGAGGAGTTCTCTACATAAAGAAGTAGACCGCCAAGTAATAGAGGACTTTGCTTTTTCATATATTGCGATAAAAAGCAAACATCATGACGTAGAGCGTGATCCCAAAACCTTTCGATCTTCAAAACTCGCATTTGTGTTGCTGATTCTGCTTCTGACAGAAGTGCCGTGCTGCAGCATCTCACTTTCGTAAAAACGCAAGAATCTTCTGTCTGCGATTCATAGCAGAAAATGAAGAATATTTTATCTCCCTACAAATAAACAGAACTTTTGAGAAGGAGAAAGACACGGTAGTATGACGACACAAGAGCGGGGCGGGCTGTGGTGTGCCAAACCGGCACGCTATGGCACGTCCGAAATCACTTTGCGGAGGTGAAACATCGAAGAAATTATAATTAATCAGTACCAATTACATTACTAAGGGGTCCCAGCCCGCACAGGAACAGCAAGCTTCTTGTGCGCGTCTCTGCTGAGTAGCTGTGGTCTAGTAGTAGTACGTAGTTTTTCTGCTGGCTTGGAAAAAGAAAAGCCCTCGTATGTTGGCCATTCTTTCCGCAGGAAGGAGATCGGTCTTTTACGATAAGGTAGGAAAGGTGGAGCCATAGAACAACTACTAAGTAAGGTCTGATGTTGCTGGAAACACCGATTAGAGATAGCACCTCCCCCAGGTGCAGTCTTACGAGTTCACTACTACTACTCTGTAAAAGAATATAGTTCCTTTTTCGTCACCCCGCCCAAGACGTGGTGCTGCTTCGTAATTGTTTTCAAACTGGAAAACACGACTGAAATATAGTTCCCTTTTGGCAAGAATAAGACACTCAATTGCCATTTTGGCAAAAATAAAGCTGCCACTTTGGCAAAAAGTCTACGACTGTATTATAATGCCCTTTTGGCAACAAGACAGTCAACTGCCATTTTGGCAAAAATAAATCTGCCATTTTGGCAAAAAGTGTACGACTGAATTAGAGTGCCCTTTTGGCAACAAGTAGACACGCACCTGCCATAATTTTGGCAAAAATAAAGCTGCCACTTTGGCAAAAAGTATACGACAGAATTATAGTGCCCTTTTGGCAACAAGACACTCACCTGCCATTTTGGCAAAATAAAATAAAGCTGCCACTTTGGCAAAAAATATCGCGGTCGCCATTTTGGCAGAAAGAAAAAGGTCCAGAGAGGAAGACGCCCTTTTGGCTGTCCTTTCGCAAACACAACGAGAATAAACGAAAACAAACTTTTCGAATAAGTGCCCTTGTGGCAAATGAACGAAAATCTGAATCGGTTCAAAGCGATGAAAATAAAGGGATATGGCTTTGTTTGGAACTGTCTAAACTGAGAACGGAACTTTTTCGCGACTCTTGGATCCTTCCCCGCCTGTTCTCGTGTTTTTTCAAAAAAAAGAGGCGAGACTGAGAACGGAACTCGAAGCCGTGAAACAAGTGCGGAAACGGAAACGGAGAAAAATCCGAGAAGCCCCGGCCGGCCAGCGCACAGGCGGCCGAGCCATCTCGGCTGTCTGCTAGAAGCGTGGCGACCTTCGAAGCAAAGCAAATCCCTGAGCGGGGGAGGCCTAAGCCCCGTGGTGCCCCTCTCTTGCGCGCCCTCCTGTCGCTGCGCGGCGTTTTTCTTGATGTTGTTTCTATAGCCAAGCAGAGTCACCTTCAGCAAACGGGCCGAGCTTGCGCGCTCAGCCGGATGCTTGGGCGGGGATGCCAGAGAAGGTCGCCCGCCCGCGAAGTTAGGCGCGGCGGAGCTTGCTGCCAGAGAGGCCTGGCCATGAAATTAATAACCGGCAGCAACCCGCGAGGAGGGCCGAGCTCCCTACCAACCTAATGAGGCTAGCGGTGGCCGTCCAACAGCGGGAAGCAAGGAACACAATGAGCCCGGCCGCCGTATAATAGATACAACCACCCAAGCCTGCGCTCTAGCTGCCACTGCTGGCCCGCGCTCGTCTAGCAACCGCTGCATGGAGAGCCTGCCACGGCAATTGGGCTGTTTGCCTTTCCATCGGTTATCCCGCAGTCTTCCGCACCCAAGGAGGGGCTCGTCTCTTGGATGTGACAACCACATCCAAGGGGCCCTGGGGCACGGAAGACTGCGAAAGAACTGCCGGCGTTGGAGCTAAGGCTGGGCGGAGGGCCGTATCTATGCCCCACTGCTGTAAAGCTAATCGGCCCAAAAAAGGGCGCCCCAACTTCCGCCACTGGGGGGCCACATCGGCCTTCTTCCATCGATCATGAGAACAGCGCGCCGCGCGTCTCCCCAGCATCGGGAGCTAGGTGGCGTCTGACCTTTTAGCCCCACATAGGGGGCTAACTTTCCTGGCCTACGCCTCTAATAGGAGCAACGCCTGGAAGTTTGCCGCCGCCGCTGGCACCCGCGCATATCCGCGGGACGCCAACCATTAGCAAGAAGAACACACATAGACGGGGCGGGGGCCGTGGCAAACGAATGGCGCGGGGCGGACGCAAATCCCGCAAATTTTGTCCCCCCTAAGAGAAGAAGGAAAGAGAGAAAAACAGAAAACGAAATTTGAAGAAGAAAACGAGCTTGAAGCTGAAGCTGAAGAGAACGAAAAAAAACAACACACACGAAAGGAAACGGAATGGCGACAAGTGCGAAGCGCCACGGTGTGGTGGCTGTTGGTTCCGTTCTCAGTTTAGATAGTTCCGAAAAAATCCGATCCCAAAATAAAGTCCAAATTTTCTTTGATATTGTAGATCGTCCGCGCAAAACCATAACCTTCGTGCCTTCGCACGCGCTTCAACCTGTAGTGGAGAGCAAGAGCCCCACTCGACGTTCGGTGGGGCCAGAGATGTTCCCCTCGTTTCGCATCGTTTCGCACGAACATGTTGCTCTTGCTGCAACGTATGTACGGAAGGTCTGGGGAGTAGAGCGAAGTGTCGAGGGAGAGTGGGGTTGCGAGCACAGTCAGTAAGTGATATTTATTCTAGTTTGACGCGTACATAAAGAAGTACACTGTATTGTCAATTACTTGTAATTGTTGATCCAAGAAGAACTTCATCGTTTCTAAATTGCATCAATTTTTGGTCTTGTAGTCCTGTTTCTCTTTCTGTTTATTTTCCAAACATGCAACATTCCTAGTCCTAGTGAAGATGTGAGGAGGGTTTTTTTCTGGGAGATGAGAACTTCCTCAGACACAACCACCACGTGGAGGCACTAGCACCTGCCCCATGTACACGTACTCATGGTTCGAGCAACTGTGCCTTGTCCTCTTGTACGCTTTTTTCCCATCACATCGTAACCAATTCGTGGAGTTCTGGTCTACTGTAGATTTGTTCTCATGCTCATGTGAAACTACCGCACGAGACACACATCATGAGAGACCACAACCGGGGCCCGGATATGCCGTCCCTCAAGCACCGGGCCTCGTTGCAGGGACATGCCCAACAGCAGCAGCAGCAGCAGCAACAACAGAACCAGGAACAGCTGCAGCAGATGCCGAATCAGCACCACATGCTCCTGCAACAAAGGCAACAGCAGCAGCAGCATGATCACCTGCACCCGCAGTACCATATGCAGCAGGTGGAAGTGCAACCGCAACACAGAATACAGGTGCCACCGCAGCAGAGTAGAGCGGTCTTGCAACCGCAACAGCAGCTACTCGGTCACCAACAACCCCTCCAACAGCAGCAGCAAATCTGGACTGCACAAGGGATACAGCAGCAGCAGCAGCAGCAGCAGCCGCTGCCAAGGCCGCTAGAACACCAGCAGCTCCTGGGACAACAGCAGCAGCAAATCCGGACTTCACACGACATAGAGCAGCAGCTTTTGCGCAGGCCACAAGGGCACCAGCAGCTGCGACAACAGCAGAGCAGACTGCAGGTCCACGCTAGTACCCACATGCAGAATCCGCCGCTCGGGGGCGTCCCGGTAGAACAGCACAAATTGCAGCCTCCGGCGCAACAAGAGCATGTTCCGTCCGGCCTGATACCACGACGTGGTAAAAACCAAAATCCGGTTGCCGAACCGGAATCAGGCCGCGCGAAGGGTAGTACTAGCCGACTTTTACCAGAAGTTCGGGCGCGAGAAGAGCAGAACCACAATGCAAGTAACTCCGCTTCGTCTCCGTCAGAACAGACCGCACAACAAACAAGCAACAACAGCTCCAAAATGACCTCATCCCGCAACACATTCTTAGACCCCGTCGCCGAATCAACGCGATCAGGTGTAGGAAGCAGCGGCAACCCGGGCGGTGGCGCGTCGTCTAATACCAACAATTCTCTGCTGCGCCTCGGCGTGCGGAGCGGGGCCTCGGTCCGAGCAGAGGCGCTCCTGCGCGTTCAAAATGCCCCTTCTGCCCCTGCGTCGAAAGACACTATTGTCAGCGACAGCGAGCTCGCATCAGAACGGATTCGAGGCGAGGAAGAGAAACGGCAACAAGTATGGAAGTGACTTCGCGTTTGTTCATTCATCCTCGCTGTTACTAACATCATTTCTCATGCAGAATCAGTATCAACACCCTCTGGGTAGCTACTTCGCATGACAGGTTCACCGCGCAGCAAAAATCTGCAATGCTTTTAGGTTCTTTGCTCGCCTACTTGCATCACAAATTCTTGCAACAGCGAACAATGGAAGAACAACGCTTGAGAGCGCCATAACCAGCATTAGCCGATGTTGATCGGGAACAAGAACTATCAAATGCAAATATGTCATCTGAGTCTGGAAGGTTGAAACTTGTGCTGCTGTCCAAAATCTGTATTGCGTCACTACCAAGAGGATCCGAGTTTCTGCTACACGGTGGACAGGGTATTTCTCATGCGGATTTTAAATGAGGAAGCCCCATGCCCATAAAAATCTGCAATGCTAGGTCATGCATCACAGGCATCATGGGTCATGCAAAATACGCACGACAAACCTCCAGACCCACACATATTTGCATTTGATAAGAACGAGTGCGAGAAGAGCGTCGTGAAGAGGCAGAAAAACGGGTATCCTTTGCAAAAGTATCGTACTCGTATTGCAAGCATGCATTACAAATTTTTTTCCGAACCTAAATCCAAATTTTATTTCTCATGCTGCGGAAATTTGTAATGCATTTATACGAGTGCGATACTTTTGCACTGCATAACGGGCTATCAAATGCAAATGATGTGTCTCAGTCTGGAAGAATGTGAAAGGTTTGTCATGACGCAGCTCCTTGTGGAGCTCAAAGATGATCGTCTAGCATGGTAAGGTAAGTACTTGCACCCGGAGGCATTACTATAGATTGTGCAAGAAGAGCTTCTTAGTTCCTATTTCGCATGAGAGATTCCCCCTTTGCGTGGCAAGAAGTGGGCAACAACAGTTGTTGCTCCACCGAACTACACAGTCTTTTGGTTTTGCACGATTCAATCATCAGATTCTGCATGACAAGTTTCCATGGAGTCCCAGTCCTTTCGGCCATGTTTGCAATGCATACGACCTCGAGCGGAACGACTGCGGATAGCACGAGAGCAGGAACAGGATCGCCTCGCTGAGGAACGTCGCCGGGAGGCCGAACAGGCCCTCCGAAACGTCGAAAAGGTCAAGCTCGAGCGCACTAACAAACGGTCAGAACGTGTGGTGAAGGAACTGGTATCAAATGCAAATATGGCTGGGTCTGGAAGAATGCAAACTTGTGATGCTGCATTTGGATTCCAAAAAAATCTGTATTGCGTAAGCAGAAAAGGGAATGCGATTATTTTGGCTACGCGGAGAGGGCATTTGTCATGCGGAATAAATAGGCATCGCGAAGCCCTCAAAAAGTCTGTGATGCTAGGGCATGCATCACAGACACCATGGCCCATGCAAAACGCGCATGACAAGTCTCAGAAATTTCCAGACCCAGACATTTTTACATTTGATAACCGGCAAAAATGAACAAGGTGCAGGAGAAGCAAGCCAGGGACGAAGCAGAGAAAAAAAGAGCCGCCCAGGCAAAAATGGAGCAGGAACGCAAACGTGCGGAGGGGGAAGCTACACGAGCGAAGGAAGCACGGGGCAGAGCGGAGGAAGCGGAAAAGGAAAAGAAAAAAGCAGAGCACAAACTGCACATCCAGAACCTCGCGTACGAAGGGCTGCAAGACGACTATCTCAAGGCCATGAATTTGCAACCTAACCTATCAAAATGAATAAAAGAAAAGCTGCTCCCTTTATTTCCATAGATATTTATTTCCATGACAAGACTTCTTTGCGCCGCAGTTTCGAAATGCAAGTCTATATAGAGCCGAACGAGCGGAGTTGGTTTGAACCTACAGCCGCAACTACGGTCGTGGCGAACAATTTGTTATAGACTCTTACAGTTGTACCTCTCTCTCGACGTCGGCTTGTAAGTCTCTGAAGTCGCTCAATGCATGAAGTCACGGTGGTGATTTGTGACAATAAGTCAGGCATTAAAATGCCTGTAGTTAACGGGTACGGGGGTGGTTTTTTTTTCCCAGCGCCATAACACAAGCTTCCGCCCGGCTCGGAGATCCGCATGATGTACGATACAGTGGCGGGCTCGACAACCAAGGTGCAGGGAAGTATCCAAACCGAAAGAGCTAGTGTGGTGGTACAAGATGCTCAACTTGCAAATGCAAAAACAGACTTGGCTCGCAACACAAAGGTATGGCTTTTGAAACAACACGTACACGTAGCTGTGGCACCGTACGCAAATAGACTTTTCTTGCCGGCGGTTACTTTTGCATTGCACGACACGATAGTACACCTTCTAACTTTTTTCGGTGTGATACTGGTCCGATCCTACACCATGACGGATCCCAACGATAGCTACAGTGGTATTCTGAGTAAAAACGTCACCGTCTCCACCCCAAGGTTGTCATGCAAATTCACATGCACCTCGACCTTCCCAGACTGTGTTTCATGTGCAAAACCATGAGAAGCGTCTCGTCAATGCTGTCTGGAGCATTGTCATGAGCAGAAGCGACGTTTTTGGTGTGACTTCAATAGCTGAGCACGATTACGCTAGAGACCCAAACTTGTCATGCACCACGCGCAAGAAAGGTCGTTGGTTCTGGTAGCAATAAAATGCATACCTTCTTGGCTTTGAGCTGGTGACGTTTTTCCTCAGGATGAACGAGCGGACAAACTTCAGGCTTGTTCATATGAAGTTCTCAAACGTTACATTCTCAGCTGTATACATGAATCTGTCATGCAATAAAATTGGCACCAACATCTACATGATCAAGCTGCGTCGCACGAGAAGTTCAAGTTCCCGCCTTGCTAGATAGATTCTAATCTGCTCCAAACCTGTAATGCAAAAGGCGCAAGAACCGTTCCCCTTTCACTTTTTATGTTCCTGCATTGCAAATTCATGCAACAGTTGAGAGTGTAACGTTGGAGAACGCCATAGCACACGAGGAATACACACCGCAGCAGCTGCGCGACATCGAAAAAGCCCATGAGAGGAAGTTCGTGATCGAATACATAAACGAGCCTATCAAGATGACAACTAGATGACAACTCCCCTCCTCCCCACATTCGAACGCAGATCTGTCTAGCATGGCTTGTGTGCAAGAAAAGTCAAGTTTTGTCATGCTAGAAGTCGGGAAGCAGAGATGCGGACTCTAGTGGTCGCTGGCGTGATGCTGGGAAGGCCGTGCGGCTTCAGTATGACCAGGGGAAGCAACCACACTGTCAGGAACAGGAATAGCATGATAAACTACCTGCAGACAGTCAAGATTTGCGTGTCTTCGGCTGCTCCTAGCAAAATACTAACTTGATTTGTGCACGAAAATTTGTGTACACAAATCGCGCATGATCAGAAATTTTCTTTGGAATATGGGGAGAAGGGATTTTTTCTATACGATGCCACACAATCCGGACGCACCACCGCTGCAGACCATCACGCGGAAGACTGGCGACAGCATCCTTGAGCTGGCCATAAAATTGCCAAAATATAAAATGTTCGACTTGCAAGACTATGTATTGCGAGCATGTAGTTTGGGTCAGGAAGAGAGCAAGGGGTCTCATCATGCTCGGCAACCTTAGTTTTCAACTCTGTCATGCGCGTTAACGCCAAACGTGCTGACTTTTCTTTTCTGTCATTCAAAAACGCAGGTTGCCCTGACATCATGAGGAACAGACTTTACCCCAGCAACTCAGAATCCTATCATGCCTGGCCGTCAAGAATTGAATTGTCCTCATCGGGCAAAACAAGCTCCTTCCAGACCCAAACATAGTTTTTGCATTCGATAAAGAAATCGGACAAGTAGACCACGACCAACCATCTGCATCTGCTCCGAGCAGGCCGCACCAAGACCACACAAATAACGCCGACCTTCTTTCAACTTCGAACCAAAACACTTCCTCTCGCGATGTGACCACCGTCGAGATCATCCGGGGCGAGCAGTCCGCCTCGGTCAACGAGCCGCGGGTCCTGTCCACCTCGTCCAGTGGCGTCAGCAGTTTTCCCGCGATCAAACTCGCCCCGCCGACAGATCTGGAGCAGCTATTTCCTGCCGCGAGTCCATTGCAAACGCAGTTCTGCTTATCGCAGGAAAAAACTGCTTCACGACTGATGGCTTTGCCAGGTCTGCATGACACAGGAAATAGATTTCTTTTTCTTCGCCGTGCGCTCCTCCCAAGAAAAATGACCCTGCTTGAAAGTAACCCGTTGTCTTGCAAGAGTAGAGTAAGCGAAGTAGGTCTATGTTCCCTTCTAGTATGCATCACAATTTCACAGACAGAGAAACAGTTTTTTCTTGCGATACTGTGACGGGAGGTCCGAAGTCCGGATACTGCCTACTTCTAATACGACGCAGACCAGCAACTTGAATAATATGGCGTTCTCAACAAACGTTACATGCTCAGCTGTTGCATGATCTGTCATGCAAAATTGTCATCAGCATATACGCAATCAACCCGTTTAGCATGACAAACTCTGGAATGGGTAAATAGCATGGCAATTTCTTCCAAATTTGTATATGCAAGACGCGGAATTTTCCCGCTTTCATTTTTGTTGTTCTCGCATCACAAATCTGTGCAACAGTTGAGCGTGTAACACTTGAGAACGCCATAAATGCCGCGGGTTCTAGTTCTTCATCTCGGGAACAACAACAGGAGCAGCATATGGACGTCGAGAAGGTTGGTGTCAACGAGATGCAGCTGATGTAGTTATTTTGTGAAAATGACCATACAACGCTCTTCTCACGACCTTCTTGCAGTGAAGATCACAAGCCTTAGGTATCTTTACCAGAGGTCGCTCTACGCTTTTTTTGATGTGACGTCTGCATGCCATGGTTATTTTGTATTTGTTTCACGGAAGTGGAAGCAAGGACGGTATGCAACTGTCTACTCGTCTGCGTGTCGCACTCACTGACACCGACATTCTTTCCGGGCATAGCACCTCTCAGACAGCAGTTCGTCCAGGCAAATCCCGCAGGAGGTGCTGTCCAGGCGCCTCCCGCGCATCCTAAGGGAACGGGTGAAACGGGAACCACCACAGAAACGGGGGACCACGGAGGTGTGCAGTTCTACAAGCTGACGCCAGCAGCGAGTATTACTTCTGTGCGTGGCACTTTTTTACTGCAGTTTTGTGGGTGAATCTTCTATTTGGATTTGCTACAACTACTCCGCGGTAACCTATTAACTACGAACTGTCATGCGAAGTTGGCAGCCTACAGCTGCTACACTTTGAATTCATCGCACTGCATGCACCATTAACGCTACATGATTTCGGAATTTTCAACGTAACTATTCAGGCGCATCCCCGGAAGGCCACCTCTACATGAAACCTCCGCCTGGCGCGGATCTGCAGCTGTGCTGGTACTACGAAGAGCCAGCGTACCCTACAGAAAAGTTGTACACATACATCAGAGAAAAAAGAACTTGTGGTGCGGTATTTCGTGCTGTCACTTCTAAAACCCTGTTGAGCATGACAAACCTTGTTCTGTGATGCATTACAGGCTGCGGTCTGCAAAACAGGAAATTGCCTCCCCTGAGGGCAATTCGGCTTTAGCAACACAATGGTTTTTTTCTGGTATGGAAGTATGTACTTTTCTGTAGGATAAGAAGAAGGTCGGAAAAAAGGAAGATGATGCTGCTGCTGCTGCTGCCGCAGTTGCTCCCGACGAGGATGTCGATGTCGATATGGCCCCAGCGGCTCCTGCTGCACCCGGAAATGCCCTCCAACAAGAGCCGATTATCCCGCTTATGGGATTCAGTGCGGTGAGCCCAGGCGACGCCAGCTCCGGAGCAAACAGTCCCATGGACGACGACGATGCCGCAGCTGCACAAATAAACCCGATGGTGGGGACAAAGCGGCAACACCGCGGTGGAGCACAGCCACAGTGACGATGAAAGTTTCATGGAAAAGAGGAGGAAATGGGACGATAAGCAACACAGGCAAGTGTTGGAGATGGGGTGGAAAATTAGAGCAGGTACTTACGTTGGATTTGCTTTGTGTCTATGTCTTCATGCGTATTTACAGGAAGTGAAGAGAAGGCTAATAGTAGGCCCTGAAAAGAAGACATATGTGAAGAAACGGTGGTCCAATCTCATCAATCGAAACCCCCAACACATTTTTACCACAGGAGCTGAGGATCGATAATTGACTAGAAGTTAAAGAATCGTGTATCTTTACTCCTTGCAAGATGCCCATCGCCATCGCGATCGACGAGTTGTGATGCGGTTTTGGCATGACGAGTCATGTCTTTCTCTTTTTTTTTCAAATGTGAGGAGCAACTCGAAAAACAGCTCCCTGCTGTGCATCACAAACTGATCGCGATGGTGATTTTCACCTCCATACAAAACGAGTTGACGGCGCTCATGTACTATTAGGAGTACTACAAGTTCGGAAGGACAACTTTCAGAACTACAAGGACGTCGAGAGTTGCAGAGAATTCAAGCAGTTTCCAAAGATCATTTGATTTCAATGTACAAGAAGCCGTTGATGAAGAGCGGAAGAAAAAATGGTATTCTGGGAACATTCTTTTTTTGGTCTGTCATGTAAATAAAAGTATCATTTTCATGCAGAAGTAAATGTCTTCCTCGTGGCACGACCCTCGTCGTATCAGACCAGGGCCTTGCGAATGAAAACAAAACACAGACACGTCGGCTCAGCAGTGCATGGCGACGTGCAGAAACACAAAGATTCCGATTTTTACACCGAAACTATCCTGGATGAACAGAGATTTACATCGAGAGCTATTATCCAACAAAAATGCGGGTAAGTACAGTTGTCGATGTCCACCTTTGTCATGTGTAGTTTTCCTGCATGCTAAATCTCTCTAGCTCTTTTAGTTCGGGGTATGAAACTACAAATGGAAATGCTTCTACTTGCACGACCGGTTTTCAAATTTTTTCCGAATTAGATGTCGAGAAACTTCTGTGTAAATCACGACCATCAGGTACATCAATTCCGCGACTTTTTTTTGAACAGCGTCATCGAACAGTTTGGGCTACAACAGCAGTGGTTGCGAAATGCTTCACAGAGTCAGTAGAAATTCATTATATCCTGTGTGAAATTCATCTCCCCTCCGTGACCACTCTCTATCAACATGTTGGATATCATGAACGTCACTCAAGGTCAAACTTGAAACAAATGGCATGCAGTTCTCCCTTATTCGCATGAAAAGTAGTGGAAGTGGTGGTGGTCAAGGTCTTCAGAGGTGGATTTCCATAAATGATAATCCTGAGTTTCAAAACGAGTAATGGGGTTAGATCGACAAGTACTAAACCAGTAATGCGAGGTCATCATTTTGCGAGCAAAGCCGATTCTACAACCGGACAAGTGCAGGGCTATTTTTCGGAAAAGACGAAACCGGTAGTACCGGAGGGGGCTGACCCAGGTAGAGTTTGTTTTAGATTCTTGTGTTTTGTCATGCCCAGAATGCGTGCTCAACAACATTCACGCAAGATGTCATGCAAATGAGTTTGTTCCAGCGTGACGCTTTCTTGAGAAAATCTTGGTCCCCACTACAGCAATTACGTGAAGGACCGGTCATTTCCAAACATGAAAAAAACGAAGGTACTTAGGGCTGCAGTGTGACCCAATAGACAGTTTTGTTCGTGGATAGCTGCCCAGAATCGAATGCACCACCGTCCTTGCCGGCAGTTGTAGAACGACCAGCAGGTGCGGATATGCAGGCTCGGGCTCGGGTGGATATGAAATACAAATGTGTCTGGGTCTGAAACAAGAATTGCCTTGCAGATGCATGATCATGTACTCATGCAGCTTGTTTTGCGTGTCCCATTATAAATATAGATCTGGACGAAAAATGCAGGGTTTAGCATCACAGGTTTTCAGAAGTAGGCTTCTGCATGCCTAATCCGGATGACAAATCCCGCAAAAAAAGGAATGAAAACTTCTGCGTTTCACTCATAACAGCTTTAGTGTGATCCCGTAGTGCTTCACAACTCCCCATCACGGAGTTGCATTCCCGTCCTAGACCCGGACATTTTTGTATTTGACAGTGGCAGCGCCGTCGCAAGTTCGGTCCGGCAGAAAGGAGCCGCAGTATGGTGAAATCGTGACAAGCAGGAGGTCCACCATGGAAAGTCAATGTGCGCTTTTCGACAGAAGAAGAACTAGGGAGGCGATGAAAATCAAAACATCCACGCCACGAGAATACAGAAGATGAGAATTATGCTAGTATTAAGTAAGACATGTGATGTTTTCGTTTTGAGCAGCACAAGCAAAAAATATGACGATTGAATGCACAACAAAACTCGCAGAAATTCTACTACATGGCTAAGTTAACAGAAGGCTGATTGAAGGATCCATTAGATGCACAGATGCTACTTGCAAAGCCTGAGAGCTGCAGGCAAAAGCATGAACAACACGAGAGAAAATGAGCTACTGTATTGTTTGGCGACGGAACAAGTAGAACGCACGTGACCAAAGCTGGTCGGCGACTGTCACAGCAGAGCATATGGTAGAACCGTGTAAAGTTGTTCGTCGTTTTTTTTTTTCCAGCGCGCGCTCTTGACACAAAAGTGAAGGCACTTCTCAGGAACGTCTCAGTTTCCACCAGCAGGTCCGCACAACGATCTCAGAAGTAGAGCGTCTAAGGAAGCGATCTTGGTAATGTCTCTGTTTTTCAGGGACGTGTCCTTCCATGTATTCCCAAAGATCCGAGTCGCAACTTGCTCTGGTTGCTTCTTCGTGAAGCCTGTCTTCGTGAGCATGAGCAACATGAACATACTGGTGTATTGCGTTGGTTGACCGTTACTTTTTACTTTTATGTATTTGGAAACGAATGGGTCGGGTCAGATGTCTTAGTCAGTTCACAAATCAAGTATTAGTATTGTTACGTAAGTTTTTGGAAACGAGTTCAGCAGAACCTACAACTTTCTTTTTTCAGCAACTTTCTTGTTCCACCTACAACTTTCTTTTTTCACCACCAAGAACTCTTCTCACGTCATGGCCGAAGAACACATGCCTCATGCCGTGCACGAGGCGCTCGTTTTATGGAACCCGCAGGATCGAAGTCAACACAGTGGCGATATTGTCATAGCTTGTCATGCAACATAAGTAACGCGCTGTCTTGCAGAGCAGGCAAAAGAGGGCGATAATTAGAAGCCTGCTTGGGCTTAGAGGCGGCGAAACTGCTAAAATAGCACGACAAGAGGTGTCGTCTTTGCCCAAACAGCATGACAGACTGGATGTAGGTGCCTTCAAAATTTGTCATGCAACGTTTGGAAATTCGTTCTCCAACAAACTGGTAGCGATTTTTCGCATTACACTTTATTTCAAATCTGTTGACTTCGATCTTGACGCCCCTATATGTGGCGGAAGCACGCTGGTGGGGGAACGAGCACAGAATCGCTGTGAAGGCATACGAGCAGGAAAAGACCAAGCGAATCGCGGCCGAAGAAAAGGCCCGGCGTCTTTCGGAAGAGAATCGCGAGCTATATCCTGAGTAAAAACGTCCCCACGCCAGAGTTGTGATGCAGATTTGCAAAGACAGGAAGACGCGTAGTGCGCATCTCCATGAGAGCCATTTTCACTCGTGTTTTGGAATTTGTGACTCTGTGAACAGGATGAGCAGATGAATCTGTGACGCAGCTACACTTGCTAAACTGCACTACACTGCGGAGTGCAACTTGTCATGCGTGACGCACAAAACTCCTAGGCGTGTGTTGCAAAATCCCCATCCTAACTCTGGTGTAGGGACGTTTTTACTCAGGATAAACTAAAGGCCCTCCTCCGGAACTATGGTGCACTTTTTTGCTATATTTGTTTGAGTAGCTACGCAGGTTTAGGGTTTTGCTTACAATTATTAAGAGGAGCTCCGCGCCTAGTCTTGGTTGCAATGCTTCACAACATTCCTGGTTTTAGAGACCAGTTTATTTGTCATGCAATTTATACGTACTTAGAACAATTGACGCGATACTTTTGCGATGTTGCATCCCATCGCGTTTCTTCACATATAAACAGAAGCCGACGACCACACGAACGAGTATCCGGCGCAGAAACGTAACTAAGTACCCACCCCAGTGCTATCGTGCAGATCAGGCATTTGCACGGTTAGGAGCTTGTGATGCTCAATGGAGAAATTGGATAGCTACTTATCAGATGCAAAAATGTCTGGGTCTGGAAGGTTCTGAGACTTGTCATGCACGCTATGCATGCGCCGTGATGTCTGTGATGCATGGTCTAGCATGACATATTTTTAGAGCGTTTCCTGTTGCCTATTCCGCATGAGAAATGCCCTCTGCGCGTAGTACAAACTGCGCTCCTCTTGCTGGTCATGCAATACAGATAGTTTTGGAATCCAGAGACAGCGTTACAAGTTCCAACCTTCCAGACCCAGACATTTTTACACTTGATACTACGTCTTGTGTTGCAACTCCACTAGCTATTCGGCCCCACACTCCGGTGGACGTCGATGCCAGCCTGTCATGCAAAACGGCCAAAGGAAAGGACTTTAACTCTTTGCATGGCAGAAGTCCCAGCTTGCGTACTATGGGGTGGCTACAACATTTTCCGACAGGATGACCCGACGCCGACCGAGGAAAGCGGAATATCCCATGCAAATTTATCGACTTGCTACCACGAGTCGCAGCAGTTTGTCATCAAAGATCTTTTGTCATGGCCCAGCCTGACGGACCACAACCACCGGCCGTCCTTTTTCATGTGTTCGGACTTTGTGATGCAAAACCAAATCCTACCGCCCGGCCCGATATTTTTGAAGTGCATACAACGGAGGAACAGGCGACGACGATGATGACGATGTCGATGACGACAGCGACGACAGCAACAACATGGGCGTGAGCAATGGTATATCCCACAGAAAGAATCTTGTAGTGTGCCACCCTTGTAATGCAAATGTAGACCGCAGAAAAATCTGTTAGGGAACCCCGTAGCACGTTCACGCAGGTTGATGCTGAAGCAGTCAAGATCTATAATGTTTCTGCGTATCTAGTACTTTCGCGTTACAATTGTGATGGGCTAGCTTTTTTCCGTGCCATATAACATCAGTACTCACCACTTGTTTGTTATTTTCCAATACCACTTGGCTGTCCGATAGTAGCAAAGATTCCTTCGCCTCCCGTGGTAGTAGTTGTAGTTCCTTTTCACTTACCAAGCTTCCTGAGCAACAGCTTATCTTGAGGAAAAACGTCTCCACCCCAGAGTTGTCACGATATGCACTTGCAAGAAGATTTGTAATGCGCATCGCCATGACCATGAGGAATTTTTCGTTGTAAGTGGGAGTTCGGGATGCTGTAAACAGCATAACAAGATGGCTCCGTGATGCGGCTGTCCTTGCTAGCCTGCACTACAATACAGATGCAAGCTTGTCATGCGTGACTCCCGAAAACCTTCGATTTGGATTGCAGACGAGTGCCAATCTTGTCTCTGCGGTGGGGATGTTTTTCATCGGGATACAGCTTTAAACTATGCATTGCAAATATGTAGTCTGGATCTGGAAGAAACCGTGTTTGTGATGCTCAATCTCGTAGACGCAAAAATATGTACTTCTGCGAGCAGGACGAGGACAAAGAACTTTTTTGGCCTTTGTCATGCAAAAAAGGTTGGTATGGGGGATCTCAAAGTTCAAACCTCCTGGCTCGTGACAACTATGCATGACAAATCCGCTACTCTTCCAGACCCAGAAAATATATTTGCGGTGGATACGAGAACAAGTTTTGCAAATACTACAACAACCTCTTCCAGTTGCTCCGAGGGCGAAGTTATCAAATGCAAATATGTCATGGTCTGGAAGATTGTTGTACGTTGTCATGCAGCTTTCGCATGACCCAGAAGATTTGAAATGCGGGCTCTAGCATCACAAGTTTAAGTTTGGATAAGCATAAGGCTCCTCAATAATTCTTACATCGCATGAGAAGTGAGGACCAAGAGTGCGAGCTTTATTCGCTGGTCATGCAATACAGATTTTTGTGCCGATGATGAGAACTAGCATGAGCAACTTGGACTCTTCCAGATCCAGACATATTTGCAATGCATACAAGAGGAAGCTGAGTCGTGCCGAGGCGGGAGTATCAATTGGAAAACCGCTGCGCAGAAGCACTTACTTTGTCATGGCATTTTTGCATACACGATAAGATTTTCCGACGTTCACCTATTCACCACTTATCACGGGTCAAGCTTCTGACTCTACTGACGGACGTGCTTCTGGCGCAGGAAGTCTTTCGCTTTGATGCGCGAGGTTGGGTGCCCAGCGGAAGCACGAGCGCCGGAGGGCGAGGGAGGAGCGGGCGAGGGCGGGCGTATCGGAGTGAGAGCGCACGGCCTGTCCTGTGCTCGATAGATAAGAGGGGGGGGGGGCTAAGTGCTCGAAGACGCGCCCGTTTGCGTAGCAGGCTTCGGCCACGAGAAAGGGGAGCGGAGGGCGGCGCCTGTGACCTCCTTCGCCCGGCCCGTCCGTGTGCCGGAGCCCACTAGAGTGAGCGCGGAAAAGAATGCGCGCGGCACAGCTGTCCCGCGTGAAGGGTGCCACGGGGGTGCTTGCTTCTCCGCTTCACGAAAAAGAACGGCGAGCAGTGCCGGCGCCTTTCTCCAAGATGCCACATTGCTCCGCGTTTGCATTTCTTTGGGCGCTGCCGGTTTGCATATGGCGTTGCGATGGACTTTCCCGTCGCCGCCCACTTGGTAGCCAAATTCGTGCGCGCAGTCAGAGTGCGCGCCGGCCCACGAAGCCGGCGCGCGCGCTCCCTCTGCGTGTCTGCGATATTGCTATAGCAAACGCGGCGCGGAAGCAGTTGCCGCCACCATATGGGGCAACCGCGGAAGCCGTTTTTGGGCCTTGGCCGCCTTAGTATGCGAAAAAAAGATGGCCTTTTTTTTGCTTCGGCTGCTGGGCAGCTGCGTTGGAGGAGCAGGCCCGCGGCCTGTTCGGAGGCCAGTCGCCCACCCTGCGCCGGCTGGCAATTTGGAAGAAAAAAAAACGCGCTGTGACATCCGGGGAGGCCAGCGCCGCTCTTTTGCCAGATCGCCCGGGCCGCTTGCGAAGTCGGCGCACGAAAGAAATCAAGAGAAAACGGCGCAAAAGTGCAATCGCCCCGCAGGCTTCAAAACTGCCAGCAAGCTTTGGGCGGCGAAAATGTCTGGCGCCCTTCGGCCATCTAGATGCCTGCAAAAAGCGGGAAAAATAGCAAAAGCCGAGGAGCCCCTGCCCCGCCAGACCGACAACGAAGCTTGCCGCCCGTGGCGGCTTGGGGGCGTGTGGCCTGTGCCATGCGTGCCCCCAAGATTACCGAAGGCAGAACGCATTACAGGCGGGCGGGGGCATGTCACAGAGGCCCCGTTTTCCCTGGGTTAATTGTGGGCGCAAATCCTGCAAAGCCCCGCGCCCGAATTGGCCAACTTGGGTGGAGCGGCCGGCCGGCCCCGCGGGCTTCCGGTGTTCTGATTAGCAAGCCGGCAGCCACCGATGACCCGGCGGCCGGTTTGTATTGTGGGGGCCAGAAAGGAAGGACGCCTCGCTGCGAAGGTGGATTGGGCGGCCCGGGGGGGTGGACCCCCTTGGCCACACAAACACCTTATCGGCCGGGGGGCCAGCGCGCTTGTCGCGCAGGGGCTACATAGAAAGGATGCCCCGCTGCGGAGGTGAATAGGGCGCCCCCCTGGCCACATACCCTCCTTTGCAAGGGGGCCCGTTTTTCATGCCCAGCAAGAAAGAACGCCCCTTGGCGAAGGCGGGGGGGGAGGCGCGTGGCGAGGCCGAATGGGCTTTCCCAGACCTTCCTGGCCCGGGGGCCAGTTTGTCACGCAGGGGCCAGAACAAGCGCCCTGCTGCGAAGTGGCAGGGGGGAAGGGAGTCCGGGGCGGCTTTTCCTCCCCCCCGGCCAAGTATTGAGCTTCCATCCTGGCAAGGAAGGCAGCTCGTCATGGAGGTGCTAGAAAGGATGCCCCTCCGCGAGGTGGGTGGGGAGCTTGCCCCCCCGGTCACATATTTATTGTCCTGGCCCGACGGCCAGTTTGCCCTGCAGGGGCTAGAAAGGCTGCCCCGCTGCGAGTTGGCCGGATTTTCGCATCCGATGCGTACCGCAGTAGCTTTCCGCGGCCCTTCAGGGTTGCGGGGACTTGGTGAGGCGCAAACTGCCGCAAGCTGCGTTCGCGGCGCTAAATAAAATACCGCGAGCACAGCCGCGGCCTGACGGAAAACGCGCCTCGGCCGGTCGCCTCGTGGAGCCTCCGTCCTTGGGTCTCGGGCCGCGAGAAGCGGTCGCGGCCCAAAAGGGTTGGCGCTCCCATGTGCGGCGCGTGCTTTTCCTAGAGACATGGGCCGCGTTTGTCTCGCAGCCCTGCCTTCCCGACGACCAAGGGCGCCGCTCCTCGCGTTGGTTAGATTTCGTCGCGCGTATTTGGTGCGCCAATATCGCCCCCCGGGCGCGGCCTACCTTCATACATGGCACGCGCCACCCCCACACGCCGATCGAGTACAGGGAAGGGCAGTGCGTGCGACCTCCATGGGCCGGCGAGGCACGGCACCGCAACGCAGGCGCGGCCGGAGGCGACGTTCTGCCCCCAGCAGAACCGCAGGCCCCCAAACAGATGAAGAACAACAAGAAGAACAACAAGTGAAGGCAGGTTTCTTTGCCCGGTCGAACTGCTTGGACAAAATTTGCCGCCTGATGTTCGATCGGTCGGACCGATAGGCAGCCTCCTTGCTGGGATTTGGTTTTCTTTTGTAAATATCTCAACGAACGTGGGTGAGCCCTCTTCGGGTTGTTTGAAATATATTATAAGCACTGCGCTGCCCGTGTTCGCGTTCGTATTGATTCGGTCCAACACTGGCGGGGAGCAGTTTGCCGCCCGCATCTAAAAATCTGTCTGCCCTCGTCTCCTTGTAGAGTCGTGGCGCCGTGATATTTTGCGCCCATTCCTCGTAGGCTAAGTTTTTCGGTGGACAAACCGCCAACGGTCGCGTTTTCTCGTGTTTCTTTATGTGGGTTTTCGGTACTTTGTTTTTGCGGATTCACCCGGGGGAGCCTGGAAACGCCGGGCAGCACCCACGAAACACTTGGGCCAGCTATGACATAGCAGGCAGCACCTGCAAACACTCGGGCCAATTTTCTTGCCCGCCAATCGGTAAGGGTTCGGCGCGCAGTTTCTCTTTTTCTACTGCATTTCCGTGCCCAGTGTTTTTTTTTCCACGAAACCGCGCAAAAGGCTAGGGGCGGAGCGTTGCCCGTGTTCTTTTTTTGGGCATGGGGCCGCACTATATTCAAACCAAAACTGAAAAACCGCCCGGCCGCGTCGCGCGGATTGTTAAAGACAAAGCCCGTCGGGGCTTTTATGAATATTGCGAGCGACGCAGACGTCAGGCAAACCTTGCGCCACTATAGAAGCCGAGCACGAGGACGAGGAGGCGCCTTGGCTTGCTCGGGCTTTGCTATGGTTTTCACACCTGCAAAAAAGCTGCCCTGCACCTGTCGGCCGTTTGTGATGCGCGTCCCGGGCCCGAAGTTTGTGCCTGGGGGGCTGCCTTGCTCCTAGAACTGCAAACCAAACGGCAAAAAAGCAACCACCTGCCGGCCGGTCGTCTTGCTTCCTCCGTGTCCGAAGTTGGTACCCCGGGGGATGCTTTTCTCCTAGAACTTCAAACGGCAAAAAAGCAGCGAGCCACCTGTCGGCCGTTTGTAAAGTAATGCGCGCCAGCGGTCTGCTGTTGTGTCGTTTCGGGGCCCTGCTTGGAATTTGCTCCGAAAGTTAGCGCTCGTCTTCCGGGTCCGAAGTTGTTGCCCCGGGGGTTGCTTTTCTACTAGAATTCCAGACGGCAAAAAAGCAGCCACCTGTCGGCCGTTTGTAATGCGCGCCAGCGGTCTGGGATTGTTTTGCTTTGGTTGTTTTTGTTGGTGTTCGCTTTCAGTGTTTTCAGCACTTCGGCCGCAATTACGTCGGGGCCCCGATTTTTCGTCTGCTTGGAATTTGCTAGGAATCGAGCAGGGGAGGGCGTCTGGCTCTGTTTGGGGTTTGCTAGAGTTTTCAAACCTTCAAAAAAGCAACCACCTCCCGGGCGTTTGTAATGCGTCTTCCGGGCCCGAAGTTGGTGCTCCGGGGGTTGCTTTTCTGCTAGAACTTCAGACGGCAAAAAAGCAACCACCTGTCGGCCGTTTGTGATGCGCGTCAGCGGTCTGGGATTGTTTTGCTTTGGTTGCTTTTGTTGGTGTTCGTTTTTCACTGGTTGCAGCACTTCGGCCGCAATTACATCGGGGCCTTGATTTTTTTTCTGCTTGGAATTTGCTAGGAATCGAGCAGGAGAGGGCGCCGGGCTCTGCTTGGAATTTGCTAGAATTTTCAAACCTTTAAAAAAGCAACCACCTGTCGGGCGTTTGTAATGCGTCTGCCGGGTCCGAAGTTGGTGCCCCGGGGGTTGCTTTTCTACTAGAACTGCAGACGGCAAAAAAGCGACCGCCTGTCGGCCGTTTGTAATGCGCGTCAGCGGTCTGGGGTTGTTTTGCTTTGGTTGCTTTTGTTGGTGTTCGCTTTTCAATGTTTGCAGCACTTCGGCCGCAATTACATCAGGGCCTCGATTTTTTTTCTGCTTGGAATTTGCTAGGAATCGAGCAGGAGAGGGCGTCTGGCTCTGCTTGG